ACTTATTTTTAATCTAAAAATTTAACTAAAATTATACACTATACCTTTTGGGTTTCAAGAGTTAAACAATCTACTACGAAAAAAAATAGTAAAAATTCGAACGCTGTGAAAAAATCAAAGAGTCTCCACGTAAACTAACTTAAAAAACTGCAATTGTTGTTAAAGAAAATTAGTGTTTCACGCGGTTAAATCGATCACCCTGTATACGTTAATATTGTCATCGACGCCGGTCCGGTTCTATTGAGAAATCACTACAAACGCGTTTCTAATGGAAACAAACAAAAGTCATTATTAGACATACGTGATTAATTACTTATTCCAAGTACACATTTCGGTCGGTCGTCCGCGCACGATTCCAGGAAATAATAAAAAAAAATATATATATATATATCATAACCGTAATAATATTATTATCCCAATTATTGTGTTTTAATTTCATTTGTATACACTGTTTCGTCATTAACTGGAAATTATGCCCGCCACCGAGATCCGGGTGGTCTTCGGCTTAAGGTGTCTTAAGCAGGTTGAGACTTATTATCAGTACAGAGAGTAATCCCATCAGTAACAGTTTGTTGTATCGTCCTATACCTGCCTATAGTACCGGCGCTTTTCGAAAATGTTAATTCTTCGTACAATTTTCACCCTCTTTATGGACATAGAAGTGTTAATGCCAGCACAATTTAAAAGCTTCCCCTTCAAAATCAAGAAAAACACATACAAAATTTACATATTTTAAAACGTAAGACAATCATTTTCGCTTGTTATTTTACAATATTAGACAATATTTAAATTTTTATCTTCTGGTCGATAACCAGTTTTGGACAATTTTTCTTAAAGTAATTTAACTTTAAAATTTAGGACGGGATTGCATTGTACATAGGATGAAGAATATTGTGATTGTGTTATGGGTTGTTTAAATATTCACGGATATTGGTTTATTCCTGTCTAAAGGTGGTGCATCCTTCATTTGGTGCATTATAATAAGTTCCGAAAAGACCAATTCGTCATAAATGGAATTGCGTTTACTAGTTTTTAAGGGATGCATTAATTTGATCTATATAAACTTAAAAGTTTCTTTTGAGTTATTTATGTTTAATATTATATTTTTGCAAAAATAACACTTCTAGTCTTGAATTCTCAGACTAGAGAGAGTAGTTTTTTTTATAATTTAGTAAAAACTTAATGACTTGTTTGTGTTTGTCAATTTATAATTTAGATGATATATTTATTGAATTACTGTTATATTTTTTTTGTTTGAATCGTCTGTTATTGAATTCGATTTTTTTTAATATAGCTTTTATATTTGATATTGTATTTTTATTATTGTTTTGCGAATTTTATTATTTCATTATTATTTAATTCTTGTTTTCAAAAGGTTACGTGACTGCGTTTAATTTATTTATGGTTTTTTCTCTGGCATTTTTGTAAAAACAACGCTTTGTTATTAAATAAAGTATAGTTGTATACACAAGTCTCAGTTATAAGTTGTTTTTGTTTTTTAAATAAAGATTGATTTACTAAAAATTTAAACTTCGTCGTTTAAACTTTAAAAAAAGTGCGAAATGCAGTATTTTATCGTCTCCGTTCTAAGTTCATTAAACTTTAAATTATGGGTAATGAAAAATGTGTTATCGATGGGTCTAAACATTCAATGGCAAATTATTATTACCTAAAACTAATTTAGTTAAAAAAAAAAAAAACTTAACAACTTTCCGTGTCATTTCCATTTTAAAAAATTAAATGAAAAAAAAAAAATTATGCTTTTGAGCGGTGACTGTTTTTTTCTTCAAATAAATTGATTAAATTGTTAATACTGCCCGTCGCAGTCAAAAATTATTTATTTCCATTTCAAATAATGATTGATTAACAGCAGCAATCATCAGCAGCCCATCTCGGATTTTATTATGTAACCTTGTGGTGATATTTGACACTAGATCCGCGCCCTTGTCCACCGCCTTAACGCACACATGTCAAACACAATTAGCTCTTCAAACAATCATTATTGTTATTATATTTGAGTAATGAAACAAAGTACACCGGAGAGGATTCGACAGACGGACAAAACAAAATATAACCCGTTCGTTTTCGAGAAAAAAAAATATTATATATTATAATGTCTTAAATTATTTGTTTTTTTTTCAATTTACATTTCACTTTTCCAGCAGACACATAATGCATACAATATATATTATACAACTACGGTCGTTTTGGGATTATTTGATTTCATTTTAATTCAAGTGCAATATTATTGTATAATAACATCATCATTCCTTACTTGTTGTTTTGGTTTTTTTTTTTTTTTTTAATACCCATCACTAAAGTATTGTACAACGATTTCGCCCTAAAACATGACTTACTCGGTATACAAAGTTTGTAAATTCGTGTAAGTCCCTTGATCCAGGTAATAAATAGCTGTTATATGTATATACATTATGATTAATAACTTAATGTACTTAAGGTCTACCGGGTCAAACCCAGACTTAGAGTGTACTGTAGTGTTTGCGGTTGGCGTAACCCACTTTCGGATGAAATATGATCGTTATGTGGTTTTTTTTCTTCAAATGACAAACATGGTTTAACCTCAAGGATAAACATTTTTTTTTTTTTTTAAGTGACACGAGTAAAACTTAAATACGTAGTAAAATAATTAAAAAATTAGATGGTAACTGTCGCTGGTGATCACGTGACGTTTAAGTATATTGTTTAACCAATAAACATTAATTAAATAAGAATATTGTAAATACAAATTATTATCTACGTTGATTTTGAGTGCAAAAAAAAATGATCAACTACAATATTGAACATAATATGTTTTAATCTATTCAAATTTTAACTGACAATGTATGGGTTTTACATTCGTGTATTTTTGTTTTTATTTGTTTTATTCACAATAATATATGTTCTAAACAGCTGAACTGATTTCTCCATGTAACAACTTTATACAGATCAGAAATTTTACTTAAAATGTACTACTAATATTAAATAATAATTTATCTTGAATAAATTATAGACGGAAACGGAATTAAAGAATAATGGTCCAAAAAGTGTAGATGAGCTAGAAAAATGATTTAAGGTCATCTTCATAGAACGAAAAATTATTGATATCTCTTTTAATTTTAAATATTGAAGACGAATTACTGAACTCCATTAATTGGTCAGGTATTATTCAAAAAATTATTGTCGTTATAAAATCAAGGAAAAAGAGCATTTAAAATATTCATTAATAATATCATGTTTTTTCATTTAATTTGATTAAATTATTATTTATGTATTTTGTTAATCTAATGTTACTTATAATAGCAATTAATTAACTCATAAGTGCAGTTAATGATTAAGTCCATAAATATATTTTTTCCCCAAAACTTTGCTTAGCCAAAGTTATTTTGGGGCTTATGAACTTAGGTATGTACTAATAGTTATAACAACTCCTTTTTATTAATAAATAATGTTTAGTTTGCTTTAAATTGAATGGTATACAATAATTGTGCCTGACATCAACATTTATTGGAGTCGATTGTTGAAAAAAAAATTATGAATTTACGATCATGTCAAAATTTAAAACATATGACAGATGAAGAAAAACGATGATAGGTTATAAAGGATATAATGAAAACATAATAGTATATTAACGTATTATAATTCATTTAATATGATTTAAATGTCCCAAGTCTTACGTGGATCTAAGGTTTACATAAGAAATATAAATATAAGCCCCTCAAATATAGGCAATACAATTATTAGGGCAGTATTTAAGCTAGTAGCGCACTAAGATGAAGTGTAAACGCGTTTTACATTTAATATTTGCACTGACTAATAAATGTATACATTTAAACATTATTATTAATTGTAATTATTATGGGCTAGTAAAAAAAAAAAACTTTTGACATTTCTAATGCACTCTGTGTATCGTCCAATATTTGAAAAAAAAACCTTGAGAAAAATAATAATTTTAAATTAAAAATGTAAATATTAATTTATTAGCTGTAAACAAATAGAACACATTTAGAAAAGTATTGTTTTTCATTTGATTTTTTTCAAATCATAGCTTACTTAAATATTGTGTCTTAAGCATTTATCATTTAAAATATTTTAGCTTCGATGCAGAGAGACGAAGGTATTAGTTTTACTCTGATGTGGGCTTTTTTTTTATCTGTATACACTGTAACTTTTTTAATACTGTACCAATTTATTTCGAGTAGCTACTCTATAAATCACAAATTTCATCTAGTAGGTACTTAGTAGGTCCTCTTCCCTTTCTTCCTCCTTCGTTTATTAGGATATTTATTTTAAATAAATATAATCATTTTAGTGATTTCAAAGTGAGTTGAAAAATGTTTTATTGTAATCCTAATAGTAATATTATTTAATGTGTTATTGCAAATTAGAAAATCGAAATTGTATTTTCCATTTGTTCTTATAAGAGATGTTAATCAGGTTTCAAAAAAAATAATAGACAATAAAAAAAATACATAATGTGTAATAGCATGAACAAAATATCTGGTTTGATAAGTATATATTCTTCAGCAGATTTATATGGATGTGTTAAAAGTACAAATATTTTACTGTGCATATTAAATTATATTAAATACATCAAGTAACATATTGTAAATGTAGACTTTTGATTAAGCAAACAAATATTTCAGTAATAATGTCAATTTGCCCTTATTGGCAATAACACTTGTTGCCCCAATAATATATATGCTCACTGATTGTTTATTTTCTCAAGTAAACCTAAGGACCTTAGTCTTAATTACAGTTAAATCAACTGATTTTATTAATATTAAATTTACTAACATATTTAAACTGCCCAGTCCTGATTTAGTCGACGTTTTTGAGGTACTAAGTTAAGTAGAAAATGGCACAACACATATTTTCACCATTTTTTTTTTGTTTTAGTATCATTATTCTTAATTCGGTGAGTACAACAAAATAAAATATATATTTGTGTTCATAAGAAATATTTTGAACAACTGCATTAAAAAAAAAGTTAAAAACACAAATTAAAAAGATAATAACAATTAGTTTATTCGTAGAAATATTATGGTAATTTTTCTATATCTATAACAATAGTAATAAATAATTTTATATTTCTCGTTACTTACAATTATAAAACAAATTATATAGGGTGGTTGGTTAACTATGACCTAGCCGATACTTTTGAGAAGGCATTTTATAATTTAAAAATTATAGTTAATTAGTGCCTCAATTTTGATAGATTTTTTAAAAAAATTAACCCCATAGGGTTAAGTCTACTTTAGTATACCTTATGCGTTAAAACCTTAAGATTTTTAAACGGTTACTCAACCGCACTTCACCTTCCTTCCTAAATTTAAACTTAAATAACTTTAACCTAAGTAATTATTTAAAACTGGTTGATAATATATTATACATTACCATTTTGAAATCTTAAGCTCATGAGGCTTTAACACATAATGAATGGGGATCAAATTGTTGAAAAACATATCAAATTCAGTCTGACTTATTATAATCATAAAAGTATGGAAATAAATAATTTGAAAAAGACTGGTATCTTTTAATATTTTGACTGGGTCATAGTTATGCAGTCGCCCTGTACAACTTGAGTAATTTTATCAATAATCTACAAAAATAGGCACATGTAACACAATCCGATTATATAATCCGTCCTGTTCATCCTGACCCCAGGCGACCGTTACGTTCTAAAATTTGGGTAAACCCGTCAGGCACAGTAATTGGCAACCATCATCGCGGAAGTGTTGCCAACGTTAACGCAAACACTTCTACGCCCCTGACTCGTTGACACGTGTGACGTCACGCGGGTTCATGACGAACACGGCGGGTTATACAAAACGAATGAAATTTGTATTGAGAGATAGAAAGATCATCGTTTTTGTTGCTCGGTTCGTTTCGGACGAGCGTCCAGCGCCAACACGTAGGTCAGCGGCAACGCGTTACCGGATTCGTCGTAGTCGACCCTGTACAAATTGCGTATGCCTTGCGACGCCAAGTACCGTCTTTGGTGGTCGTCGAGCTCGACCGGCTGCGGTACGGGGCGGCTCTTGTAGGCGAATTGTCTGGATTTGTCGCCGGCGGGCTGCAGCTGAATACCGGCGTCGTCCAGCGTTTTCAGCTCGGATCGGCTGAGCGACTTCTGCTCGTCGGCGAACTGCAACAGCTGCAACTGACTCTTGTCGGGTATGTACCTGGTCGGCGTGTCGCTGTCGACGGCCGCGTTCGACCTCTGCCCACCGCGAACCTTGGCCGGCGCCGCGGACGTGAGCTCCGCTTGGTTTTGGAATTGCTTCAGCAGCGAAGTGAGGAAATTGTCGGGCAACAACTCGGCGGGCGGTGACCTGGTCGCCGGCGGTTCGGTCGCCGAAACGGATGATTGCGGCTGCGGTCTGCTGGCTTTGCGACCCTCCTGGCGCGGTCGCTGCACCGGCCTCTGCTGTTGCTGCGGCACGTACTTGGGCTTTGGAATCACCACGGCGTCGTCGGTCTGAGCTACGCGATTGGCGGTGGTGGCCCTGACGGGAGCCACGGTGCCGGAGACGGGGGCACTGGAGTAGAATTTCTTTTTAGGTATGTAGACCACCTGTCCCGTCTCCTCGGTGGGCTTGGTCATCTGACCGTTATGGTGTACGTTCACCACGTTCTGCAACAGGCGGGCGTTCAACAAGACCGGGTTGATTGTGGCGTATTCGAGGGACTGCTGGGCTGACACGGGATCCGGAATGTTGTAGGCTAGCGGCTTTGAAACCGACCTTTGACCTTTGGACCGCGTGCTTTCGGACAAGGGTTCGGCCGGCGCTGGTTGCTGGAGCTGAGATGCTTCGGTCGGCCCGAACCGGACCTGAGCGAAAGAAAACGATTCGTCGTTCTGCGATGGGAATTGAAGGTTTCGCTGGGATTCCAAATCCTGACTCTGATCAAATTGTTGTTGAGCAACCTGTTGCTGTGGCTGGGCTCGGAACTGAGACTGACCTGTTACCGGCTGACTTTGGAATTGCGGTTGTACTTGAAACTGCTGTCGAGGCAGTGCCGTTTGGGTTTGGAACCGTTGGTCGTCTGGCAACTGTTGGAATTGTGACTGCTGTAGCAACGACTGGATAAGCGGCCTTTGTCTGAGGGACAACCTTTGTTGTTCTATGAACCGCTGGCTTGCGTATTCCTGTTGAATCCTGACTTGTTCGGCGGCAAACGGCGACAGAGTAGTAGTCGTCGTGGGCGGAAAAACATTGTTCAGTACTCTAAATTAACATTAAAATAATTGTATATTTTATTATGTACCAAATAAAATGTAAATACAATCAGGAATGATCAAATCAGTGTCAAAAAAAAAATGTAGCAATCGTTCCGAAATCTTTCTGAAAGACATTAAATATGTCTATTTCCGTCCCCTTCTATGTCTTCCCGGTTGAGACATGAAGAGAGACGAGGCAAAGGCAGTGAGAGTTGTTATGAAAATGAATGTAGAGGGAAAGAGAGGAAAAGTAAAACCGTAGAAAGATGGATAGACAGAGTAGAGAGTGATATGAGGGTAGCTAGGGTGATTGAACGAGATGTAGGACATCAAGCCTTATGGAAGTATAGGATTAGGGTGACCTATGCAGCGATCAAATCCAGATCGCCATGCTGTCAGGCAAGAAGCTAAGGTCAACGCCACTAAATCATGGCAGAAAAGATGTACAGTTTTAATACTGGATGGCTTTGCAAGAAATATAATTTAAAAAACAATTGCACATATTGATATAAATTTAAGTAAATATAGAGTTGATAGTTTTTTATTTGATTGAGATGAACGTCCAACTGTGAATACAAAACCTATAGATATACTTAGACATACCGGGGGATGAAAGACTGTTGCGGATTCTGTTGGCCAAATCGTGATTTTTGCGTTACTGGATTGTTTGCAGCGTTTGTTTGTTGTAAATATTCCAAGTACTCTTGTGGAATCTACATGCAATAGCAAATTTTAATAACAACAATGTTTAATCTATGTGGGTACATACTTGTTGTGGGTCAAAATCGACATTTTCTTGGTTAGATTGTCTCTTGGCCTGGGTTGGTGCAATTCCAGCGGTGCGGGGTTGATCCTTCAATGCAGCAACTGTCAAAGCACCTGTAAGACAACATACAAACTATAAGTCATTAAATATATTAAAAATATTGACCTTCGAGAGTGTGCTGTATGATCAGTTTAAATATCAGTTAAACAATTGATGTTGTTCGCATAAGCAGTAGAACAATGTTGTTTTAAATTATAATTAACTTATATTATGAACAATTTAAGTGAAGTATAAAAACAAAATATGTGCTTTCCTTTCTCTATTAAACAGAAGTAAACGCATTGCGGAGGTGGATCATGATTTCGTATTTGCGATTTGAATACAGTTTCAGAATGAATAATGCCATCTATATAGCGACCACAACTGGCTGTGCATACTAATGAGTGCATGTCATAAGTTTGTAGATTACGACTTTTGAAATTTACATTTGAGTGATGTTGTTATTAGTTTATTGTACCTTGGTACAGATAGTAGAATTAAATAGCACAATAATTCATCTATGGCGTAAAATATGTGTACAAGCTATTCAAAGTTTCGTGACACGATAGGTAATTTTTTTCCATTAAATAATTAGTTTAGCTAAACAATTAATGTTATATAGTATTGAAAGATTTTCGAATGGCATTAACGTATTGCACGATTAAAATAAAAAAACCTATTTCATTTTCATTTTTAACTTATTTATTTCATGACAAATTGTTAATTACATAACAACGATGGTTGACTTACCCAAAAATTATTATTTTTAAAACTATATTTCAAAACTATAATTATAATTTTATTGTTTAATGTTCAGTTGTATTTTTAAATATTTGAACTGTCGAATATTTTTTGCGAACAATTTTATTATTCATTTGTATGGAAGTTGCTTATTGTATTCAATAACAAAAATTAACCCAATGTGGTAAAGACTGTTCAGTAAATAAACCGCGTGTTGTAAAACAAAAACTGGACGAAAAAAGTAAGTCACGAGAAAACCAACTATAAAAACGTGTGATTATCAGACCACAATCTAAATTAATTAATTTTATACATCTATTGTTAAATACTTAGCCAATAGCTTCAACAGTACTTTTGTAATTTCATTTTTTCCCCTATCTAACTGTGAGGTAACGAGAGTGTATTGAGAAACGACCGGATTGAAACCATATATAGTTAAGGATATCATAAAGGCATCGTGTAGCAGAGTGGAGAAATTAAAACGACAATGCCGTGTGTGGCCAATTTGATGGAAATAAAATATATTCTTTGTGCATTTAATTGGCAATTATTTACAAAAGTGCATTAGTCGTTGACGGTAAATTCAATGGGCGATAATTTCAAATTTGTATAATCATTGGTCAAGTCATAGTTGGACGCTACGTTTCGTTACTACGTGTCTCTAAAAAGCGACTGTTATCATAGTGATAACATAATAGTACTAATAGTCAACAGTTTGACGGCACTCAATTTTTCCTATCAAACGACAGGGTTTTCAGGGTTCCGTTCTTTATTTGTTCAGTTCAAAATTATGTTCATCAACGTAAACAAGGAATAAAGTTATGGTTTTTTTTTGACGCCAAAAACGTTATACCCAATAACGTTTTAAATGTATTTGCTCCGAGAGCGTTACAACGAATAACGTTATAATTTGTTGTAACCCGAAAACATTATAACGACTAACGTTATAAATGTATTTGCTTCGAGAACGTTATAAAGAATACAAATATGACATTTTTTTTTTTTAATTGAAGAAATAACCACTTAGCTTTTTAATTAAAGGGTTGTTTTAAAACAAAATTTGAATTCAGTGATCACAAAAACATATAAATTCATAAACAAAATGATTTCTCTTTACTATTGAAAAATTACCTCTTGGCCTGATAACCCCTCTAGGTCCTAAATTAGTACGGGTTGATTTTAAAATAGGAACTGGAAATTATTTCGTTACCCTCTGAAAACAAATAACGAACATTTAAAAAAATCCTTTATAAGAAATTAAGTAACGAAACTTAATTGTATGTTTTTTTCGAGTAAACGTTCTGGGCAATTAATTTGCAACGTTCTCGTAGCAACATTTAAAAATATATTTTCTTGTAATAATTAAAAAGGTGAAAAATTATTTGTACAAGCAAAAAAATACAAATATGATACGATGTACGTTACTATAAACATGCTCGGGGTAAAACAAAATAATAACGTTAGGTATTCTTTGTAACGTCCTCGAAACAAATACATTTAAAACGTTATTCGTTACATCATTTTGAGGGTAAAACAAAATAATAACGTTATTTTTTTAAAACGTCCGTCAAACGTATACTGATATTATGCTACGTTCTGTGAACGGAATAATTGAGTTTATAACGTTATATTTCGTTAGGTACGTTACGGAACCCAGTTTTTTTTTCATTTTAAACGGATAAATCAATAAACAACGGCATCCGGCCGTTTGTAGAAGAAGCCCTATCGACGCACGGCAATCCGAAAAACCGCGTTATTTGCCAAATATACTATTATTATATAATATACATCCCATACGGGTATCGGTCGACTTGTCACAGAACCGTGGGTACTACATACACTGCAAACGTGGGACGCCGACAGACAGTGTTCTGTTAAAAGCAATGTATTACTCTGTACGGGACCGACAGACCGGCGACTCGGACCAATAACCGTAGGTACACACAATACTGCACACCCGGGCAGATAGGTATATATGTATATAATTGATCGCTTTGTTTACAGAACGGTTGACTAATTAGGTTTTGCAAACTAGCCGAGTTAACTAAACCGCGCTGTGGTGTTTTTTACCGGGTATTTTTTTTTTTACTTTTTTTTTTTGTTAATCGTCATAATTAAACCGGACCCGACCGGTATAATTTGTTCGCGTCATTGGTTCGTAACGCGAGTCGCACTCGTTACCGAACCGATTAGATGTGTGCATAATATATTTTATGTATGCCGCGTGAGTGACACAACGAAACTCGCAGTAAAACATTTATGATTGTAAAAAGTCAACGGAATTGTTCGCTCCGAGTCACGGATATCGCAGCTGCCGAAAGGTACCTATATACAGGTAATGGAACAGTGTAAATAAACCCAAATGGTGTATTCAAAGTAGTAAAACGATAGATTTTCAAATAACGATTTTTGATTGGTTTCAACTCGATGCGGTAAGACCAAATGATCGTGCCGAAAATGTTGTACGCACTATTAACGTGGTAAACTGATATGAATTACTGGTAACACCTTATTTAACGCACATCTACATCAATATTATCTACTCGATGCGGCTTATGATCCGCACGGGAGTGAGAAGATGAAAACTGCATCTCACCGACGTCCTATCACCACGATTTTATCGGTAATAAGCTACCTCCCAGGGAATTTGGAAGGAATGTAGTAAAGTTATCGACTCCTTAAGAAAATATTTCTCAAACCATCCCTGCCCAGGCGACAAATTCAAAAATTGTCAGGGGAGTGAGCTGCCAATGTCGGGACACGCCTAAAATTTCAATTCCCATAGCTTACTGTTGAATCAATGGTATTTCTCCGAAAATCATCCTTAAATTCTGGGTGTGTGGAAATGGCCATAAATTTATTTATTTACCTTTGTTATTGAAGCGTATTAACGAGTCTGATATTATGACACACATACACATTTTGCTTATCCGAGTACACCATCAACGGAAATTTTGTTGAGACATGCCAAATGATAATGACTCAAAATTTGCCCAATTCGACGAATGACCGATAAAATATGAATATGAGAGTTAAAGCATATTGTTGGAGAAACAAAGCTCTGGGTCACGGGTCTTGCAGCTGTCGAAAGTACTACAGGTAATATTACAACATCAGGGATATACCATACTTACACAGTACGTACATTACTTACTGACTCGCTTCACTTTTTATGTTAGTCCATGTTCTTGTATTGTGTTTTAGGTAGACTTTATATTTATCGACACGGTTCCACAAGCTTAAGAACTTTTTATACAAAAAAAGTATAAAGAACTGTTTATACTCTATTTTTCATGTCAGAATACATTTTGAAAAATACCGGTTGAACCTTTTCTGGATTCCGGCGGGAGAGAGTCGTGGGGCTTTCGTTAAGGGGGCCTTGGTAGTATAATTGGCGTTATGCTATTTTTGTCCAATACCGCAATACTGCTGTCGGGCTTATACCATAACCGAAAACATCATGTCGTTAAAACTTTGAACGTAACCTAACGCGCGCAATCGGGTCACGAGCCTGAGTGATTATTCTGGGAAGGTCGTGTTAATTTTCTTTTTTTACATCACAATAACATACGATTGTAAGGACTCTGCGTGTTAATATTATCTCGGACGTCGCCTCCGGGTTTTTCGCCCAATATCGTTTTACACGCTGAATGGGGATGCAAAACAAACAGCTAGGTTGAGTACCATCGTGCGGTGGCCTCTGGTCGCGGTGTGTACATTGCACGTGGCACGCGGTCACGCACAATATCCACCTTGTGCACGAGCGAAGGAGTTCTTGACCCGTCCACCGCCATTTGCACACACACGAGTGTTGTTTTACTTTTACCAACATTACATTTACATTTTTTTTTTGTAATTTTTTCACCAGCGACATCGACGAAGACGGTCGGAAATAACCGACCGAACAATGACGTTCGTTTAGCAAGCGGTTTGGTTGAAATATGTTTACACACAAATTGGCCACCTAACAACCTGTTGCCGCGCGAACAGGTTGTCCAGAACAAACGGTAGCATCATCCGTGACAGTAGACCTAACCTCTAACCATAACCAGAGTTGTGCATCATTCGAATAAAACGTTATCTTGATAAATTTACTACGGTCCAAGTGCTGTTTTTCTCTTAATTTGATTTTTTCATTTATAAAAATAAAATGTTAACTACAGATTTTTGAGAAAAACAAATATGTTATAAGGCCACCGTTGCCTTCAGTCTAATCTTTAGACACTAAGTCCTAAAATTACATAAAAAAACGTGAAATTAAAAAAAAAGGTTCGCGATTGTTTTTGGTTTCGTGCAAATTTGAAAATAATTCGATTATTTTTAAAAAAGTTGAGAGCGCCGTAAATCAATGGTTGAAAATATTAAGTAAATTTTTTTGGCGTTTTTCTCAACTTTGAAGGGATGAACTTCTTAAATTGTTGGTCCTATTAAGTATCTTTTATGTACGATTACTGATCTATAGACTTGCTACATAAAGAAATCGGTTCAGCGACTTATCACAGATATTATGGGTTCAGAGGTAATAAATTAATTATATGTTTTCATAAACGCATTATTGTAAAAACAATACCTTCTCAGCAGCCGCATCGAAGCTGAAATACATATTATTTTATCTTAAAGATCGTCTATGATAAAGTAACCTAACCCAATCTAAGGTAACTAATCGACGGTATTTGAGGAACTATATGTTTTATAATTTGATGTCTACAGACACAACAAACAAAATTAAATAAATAAATAAAAGCAATGTTATTTTAAAAACACTGCCTTCTCAGGTCCGTATCCGACGGTAAGAGGTCGAATGTTCTTTTTGATATTGACTAAAATAAAAATAGTCCTTAGGCCTTAAACCTAACTCCGTTCTGTCCCGGGGTGTGGTACGCCCAAATTTACTACCAGCCATTCCGCTGTCCTCGATCAAAACGTGCTATTGTTATTCAATACTATATCCTATACAGTGACCTCGTGGTATACCTATTGTACAAATATATACTACTTGACCGACTCGGAAAGTTCCTTGAAAGAAAATACCTTAAGGAAATGCACACCGACAAAGATAATATTGCGTAACCCTGCGCGGTGCTCGGAAATGGATACGGGCGTAACTGTCGAGCACAAAAGGACTTAGAGGACATCAGTATGTGAGTCGATACATTATGCGAAGCTGTTGTAACTTCGATGCCCAACCGAGAAGATACCCACGATATCTTCTAATCCGATGAACCGATTTCTTCGTGTACATTCTCGAGTCTAAAGATCAAAAATCGTACCTGACAATTAACAAAAGTTCACAACCTACCTTTTAAACTTCTTTTTTTTTTTATTAAGGAAAAAACAAAAGTGACACTTTGATCCTTCCAACCATAGTATCACTTCTCCCTCTCCCGTCGCCAATCGAAAAGGCCTACTATTATGATCTCCGTTATTATATGATATTTTCAAAAAACGAGGTCCGTACTTGTTTTAAAAAAACTAAGGGATGATGATCAGATTTCAAAATATTCATATTTTCCGAGAAAATTAACGTCTTACATCAGATTGACAAACGATCAACCCTAATCGCATCTTCGCAAATACTCATAAAACAATTTTAAACACATTAGGCTTAATGCTGTAATCGATTTTTGTATTTCTACCATTTTCACAGATTAGCGTAGACGCGTTTATTTGAAGGTAATTTTATCGCATTTACTTTTAATAATTCCTAAAGATTTATGATTAACCCCCCCCCCCTTCCCTTTCCAAATGTGCTCCGTTCTCCAAATGTCCCGACTCCACTGTACTGGTTTTTTTTTTTTAATACAAGAACAGTAATTCGAAAATCGTATAAATCACGTTTCAATTAAAACTTCAAAAAAAAAATATGAACTATTTTTTATCGCAAAAAAAAAATACTAAATTTAATTTCGTTAAAGTCCAAAGATAGTTAATTATTATCAAGAAACATTATAAATTATAACCAAACCGTTTATTAGATAGGTGTATAACAATAGTATTTATGCATTGTTGCTTTACTTGTAAATCCATCTGAAAACTTTTCTAATAAAACGTTGATATCGCTTTCGTGAGAAACCTTAAGTATTACTATTTTGTTCGCTACCGTAACTGATATTTTAGTAAACAGTAATTGCAATCGTATTTCATAAACTTTAAAATGTATGCATTTATGAAGACTTTTTAAAATTACAATAACAATACAATTACCATACCCGTTCTTGTTTCAACACATTGTGTACACAATTATTAAAATATGGACATAACAAAAATATTCGAGGGACTACTTTCCATATAGTATTATAATATTAAAATCTTGTTCTTGTATTTTTTTTTCTTTAATACTCGATCATCTCATATTAATATACTACGTATCAAATATTATCAGTTGCAATTATATTATTAAGTAAACACGCAACGAACATAATAACATATTAACTGTTTACACGTGTAATCGGTTCCAGAGTAAAACTTTCACAGCCTTGAAAGGTATACATAACATAAGATAAGCAAAACCAGCGGCAAACCGTGTTGAGAATAATATTTCGACGGATGGACGGTTTGAAATTTATCACTCGACTATTTTAAAGTTTAACCACGTTTAGTGTGCATTACAGATAAAATTAAAATGAGACTATTTTACTATTGAAAATTAACCCATAGTACCGACAGTCAAGTTAAACACATAATCAAATACATTTTTTTTATGTCTAAACAGCAAATCTAGACAGTTAGATTTTTACAAACCAGTTTGAGTTAAATTAATTTTAAAACAGCAACTAGCTAAAAGTTATATTTAGAAAATAATTATTTTTTAGAAAATAGTTAATAGATAACTTTAAAATTTCGTTTGTAAAAATCACTGATTTTCGTTTTAAAATTTGTATTTAGTTTTTCACTAACAACGAATTGTAATAATATTTTATAGTACATAAAATTCAATTTTTTTTTTAAAAGTCAAACATAACAGCAATAATTATAGCTTGGTGGGAAATTTGTTTGCATTGAATTTGTTGAAAATCCACCCTCTCCCCTCCCACAAAAAAGAAATGGTAAGTAATAATAACAATTAATATTATTCCTCAACTTAAAATTATTTTGAAATTTCATTAGTTAGTTGATTTTATTAAAATTGTGTTGGTTTTTAGAGACATCGTTTTGAATGTTACAATTGAACGTTTTATTAGTGTCCATATTTTTCTGAATCATTTCAGATTTTAGTTCATTTAACCTTTCAGAGCTCAATGTAGCAGAAATGCAACATGTTTATTAAGTTCTTTTTTTGGTCTAAAGAACACATTTCATTGATCATATTGTCATTTAAGAAATTGCTATTTATCAGATATTATAAGCATCATTTGTTTAGATACACCCTTTCTTACTTATTTTTCTAAATTTCTGATAATTCAATCAACATACACAGTTGTATATTATAAAATTAAAAAAATTGACATTAAAGGGTTCAATCTAACCATTTTTTTTTTTTTGAAAAACATAACAAAATAACTTTCTTAATCAAATAAACAAATGTAACTAGGGTTATTAAAAAAAAAAAATGTTGAAAATATTTTGCAGTCTGCAGGTAGGTGCAACGATTTTAACCTGAACATTTCCTGTGTATAAGTTTACTGTTTTTTATTTTTGTATACAACACCACCGCATAGGTATTTTATTATCTTATTACCGACAATAAGTGACCAGCCATCGGCTCGTTTAACGTCAACATTATATTATAATAATTTCTATGTGAATAAACAATAATTACATTAAATATTTAACTACCGGTCGGCGGTTTTAGTCATTTTTCAGTAGTTTTTTTTTTTTTTTAATATTTTCGGATCGTTTTTTTTTTTAAGAATTTATTTCGTCTTATACGATTTTTACCGAATCGCTGCGCCCGATAATTATTACAACAGCAACGGGGACTTACCCGAGTCGATGGCGACGACCAGCAGTACACAACAGCCGTAGACGGAGTTCATTTTGCGCCGGCAAACACACTACTTGGAGAGTAGTGCACGTTTGATTGTTTTCTGCGTTTTTGTGTGTATGTGTGTGTGTGTGCGTGCACACCATAAGACTTAAGAGCCGTATCGCTGCGTGTACACGACGATGACGGTTAATGAGAGCACACGATCTCCACGACCCCGTCCGGCCGGCGCGCGCTGTACCCAATTGCATAACACCTACACCGCGGTGGAAACCAGTTACGTTTTTGCCAACCAGCTCCATAAACGCGTGGAAAGTGAAAGCCGAACACGACCGGCGTTCCCACGGCGGACTTGTAACCGGCGCAAACAAGAAAACAAACCACCGCGATGGTGTGTTTACAAACGAAAAATAACAATAAAACAATAACCGTCACATCGAAAAACACGTGAAACGTCGTGTAGAGACGATTTTTTTTTTTTTTTTTTGTACTTTTTCCTCCGATCTCAAATTGCCCGTCGACAGAACAACTGGACACGCACGGGACATCTAATAGTCGGCGACAATTCAAAGCTGTAACCTACAAGCAATGTGCATGACGAGATAAAGCTAATAAAGGGGTTGTTTTGCACTAAGATCGAAATCAACCCTTTACTCAAACTATATCTACGACCGGTACTACTATCATATGGGCGCGAAACGTGGTCTATGTACTATGACGCACCTGTGACGGTTAACGAGTTTACCAAATGTATGTAAAGCCTAATAACAAGTCATTTATAAGAGGCAAACGTTTGGAGTGGGTGGCACATGTATGGAGATCCAATGGTACAATAAAAGAAGTAATGACAGACACTATCAATGGGAATATACCTAGAGGACGACCTAGGCAGATGCGGATAGACATAGTTCAAATCAGACCTCGAAAAATATGCACCAGGATTAAAACTAGAGGAGAGTGAAGAAAGAGAAGACGGCGCGAAATAGTAGAAACAGCGAAGGCGACAAATCGAATAGATGAGTAAATAAATCTAATAAACAAGCGAAGAATATATAGTTAACGAATAAATAAATAATTAAATGTACTAAATGAGTAAAATAAAAAATAGTTTGACTCACTGATTGACAATATACATATTGTATACATAACAAGCTGTCCCGACTTGGCGTTGCCCGTGTATTAGAATACACACATTATCAGCTGATCGGATCACTGTATTCCTGCGTGGTATGAAAAACCATAGAAATGTATTGATAACTATTGATACTATTGATAATCATAATTAATCATTTTAATTAATTAAAAACATGTTGCATCGGATCAAATTCTGAATCTAAACCATTCTCGGATCAACTTAATCGCGCACACAAAATTTCATAAATATCTGTCCAGCCGTTTGGGAGGAGTTTGCGTACTTACACACGGAAAGAAGAAATTCATATATAAAGAGATATATTAATATTATCAATGAAACATTAATAATAATTTAAGCTAATAAACGAGGTTATAAATCGAGTCAACAAATCGGAAAAATTATTAAATAATATAATAAACGAGTAAAAAAATCTAGTAAACAAGTGAATGAATAATTAAATGTAAATATTACATATATTTCATATATCTAAATTTGATCGAATTTACTTTTATTATTTAACGTGTCTAAGTTTTTAATTCGATATATTTTTAGATACAAAATATAATCAACGAGGTCATTAGTATATAGAAAAAAAAATCGCTTTTAATTTATTTTTTCTCGAGTATATTTTCCGTTTACCATTATTAAATTAACGTCAACATTTTCTTTTTAACCGTTTGTACGTTTCTTAGTAAAAATAATGTTCTTGTTATACAACCAGCTTGCAATTGATAAATAAAATGCTTTTAAAGAATTTACGGCTGACATAATAATATGTTTTTGAGGAAAAGTTTGTGCTGTGAATTAAAATTAATTAAAACTCGACCCCCGTTTTTGTGAAACCTTCAAACTCATTTCTTACAAGTTTTAGTAATATGCTTTACCGAACACGTTAATATTAAAAAATGTATATTTATACGATAAATAAGCAGTGAGTAATTGTGCCGATGATTGGACGAAAAAGGTACAATGCAACTGAAAAAATAATAATAAATACTATTGGTTTATGGCAAAGTTGTAATAATATGTTTTTTTTTATTTTATAAACTATCAACTGAAACGGTACGGTGCTCATTGAATTCTGATTGATTCAAATCTGAATGAATAATTCAAACCAGGTAAAAATTATACAACGACAGTTAAACACCATAAATTAATTTATATTTCAAGTAAATAACAGATGACGCCAAATCCCACGTGAAAACGTTAGGTTAGGTTAGACTATCAATGTGGTCTGACAATTATTACAGTAAAATCATGACATGATCTATGGATAAAACTAATGGAAAAAATACAATTGGTCGTACTGTGAGTAACGTTATAATTTTAGATAATATTATAATAAACTTGATTGTTTTTTTATTTGCATATATTCGCATATATATTACATATAGCGTTTCAAATAAAAAATTTTAAATAGGTAATTTATATGTTTTTTTTTTACCTTGACTTGCTGAAAAAATATCGAGTAAACAAATTGATTTATATCCAATTAAATCCATAATGCACGCCTGATAATTGTTTAAAACACTTGCGCATTGTAATTGTAGATCATTGTGAATAATACCGTTTATTTTGTCCGCGATACTAAACCTATTTTGTCATAACCTGTATAATGAATTTCAAGCTTATTTTGTTTATATCCCTCTTGAGTGTTTTATTTTTAAATTTTAGTTTCGCGCAGAACAATAATAGTAGTAGATTAAACTCTATCGCAAATATGTTTAGCACAAAACCGAAACCGCAACAGTCCGGAAACGGCGGCCCTCTTGAACTGGCAGAGAACGAGCGTATGGAAGTCAATAAAGAAACACCGAATCAGGTACAAAAAACTGCTGGAGGTACCGCAATGAATGTAACCAAGAATACAATTAACTCTCTCAAAAATATGATGAGAAAAAAACCAACACAACTAGTGGTCGAGGACAAGCAGATCGACGAAGAAGTCAAAGAAGAAAATATACAGGGAGAAGAACAGACCGACGAAGATTCAGCCAAAATTGACGCTGACAAACAATTTATACTAGATAATGCAGACGCAGCAGGCATTGGTCCGACTGTGGCCGACGAGGAAGTTCATGTTGAAGAACAAGAGACACAAAACGACGAAGATCTAGCCACGGTTGACGATGACAAACAATTTATACTAGATAATGCAGACGCTGTAGACAATGACCCGACTGTGGCTGACGAAGAAGTGCCCATAACAGCTGCAGATGAGAGCTCAAAGGAGAAACAAAGCGAATACGATCAAGGACAAGAGAAAGAAGTCATCGAACCCGAAACGGATACGGACAATTTGGAAGTCAATGATCCTAAGCCAGCATTGTTACCAGAAGATGAACGGGAAGAAACCCCAGGCGAAGAACTCGAAGCAGAAAGTGGCAAAAACGAAGGTGGAGACGCTTCGGTCGCAAAGGAGGATATCATGGAGACTAATAATGGCGATGATGAGAATACGTTGAGCGACGAGGATCACAGGGAACGGGTGTTCTGCGTGGTTTCGGGAAGTGCTGATCCGCCAATGAGGTATTCCAGGGACTTCCCGACCGACATATGCCATACCATCGTTTACGGAAAACGCATTGTCATCGATCAAAAGCATGCGATACCAAAATTAAACAAAAAAGATGCTGGTAAGTCGTACCAAGTCGATAAAAATAATATCTTTGAAAAAAAAAACACCATTTGGGTTATTTTACCGAAATTTGTACATTCGTGTCCAAGGAAAATGATGAGTTTTTTATCATTGTTTTTGGCATGTCCCAAAAATTGTCCACTTTAGGTTTATTTAGACCAGCAAATGGTGTCGATCAGAATATTTAATATGCTTCAATAACAAAGGTAAGAAATCGATTAATTGCCATTTTCTCACAACCCCAGGCTTTTTGTACCAACGCTGACCCTTACAAGGTCATTCCTAATATAAGGATAGTTAGCTTGAAATGAAGCTACACCGGAACATTGTTTGCTAAAAGATGATTTATGAAGAAATACCATTCAATAACAACATTATGCTATGGGAATCGCATTTTAGGTGTGTTCTAACACTTTCATGTCAAGTTTTAATTTTACCGACAGGGTAGGGATGGTTTGAGAAATATTTTGTTAAGGAATCGGAAACCTTGTTACACTGCCTTCAAAACCAACCATACCTTTGATTATGCCTGGGAAGCAGTTTATTATTAGTAAAAAACGTGGTGATAGGAGGTTGGTTAGATGTGAGTTTTATTCTCCTGTCAATTATAAGCCACACCGAGCAAGCAATTGTTACCTAAATGTGCATTAGAATAATCTGCATCATCTGGCAGTAGATCCCTATCGTTAAATTGAAATATTTTCATTCCCAAGATGGTCCTAGTTTCCGTGACGATTCTCATACCCGTTGGACCTAACTCTACTGGAATTGGACTTTGTTTCCTTTTGTTTGTAATTGGGATAAGGATGAACTTTTTTCAAAAAACACTGAATGTAATCACTTTCGGTGAAATGGCCCAAACACAGTCCACTTGTACACAGTACAAATAATTATGTTTCTAGCATTGATAAAACAATATGCGCAAAATAAGGACAATTTACTATTCATTGTAATAATGACACATTCGAGTTATTCGAACTGGTCGCTGGCGCTGTCGGGAAAAGGATTGGACAAAGAAGTGGAGGTCGTGGTGCAGTTTGTGAAAAAACACAAAGTCGCAGGTGTGCAATTTGCTAACCTCTATCCCCAAGTAAGTACTCTTAATCTTCGACAGCATCAAATAAATACGCATTGCAAGACTACACAATATTTGGATTGATTAATTTTGAATATTATTATTAGGTGGGCGAATCAATTGACACGGATATGACATGCAAACTAATACATTTTTTCACCAAGCTCACTGAGAAAATGGCCGACTTGGGAATAGGATTGGAAATAAACGCGTTCGAACCGACCGTGGCAACAAGTGACTTGTTTTCATTATAATATGTTTAACGTTTTTTTTTTTTGTTTTTATAATTATTATCCTTTCTTAGTAACCAATTTAGGACCTTGACCTTAAAGCACTTTAAGTGGAAGGTTTTTAGACTTTGTTTTATTTTTTTTTTTTAACACGCTTAGTCTACATCTTGTGACGATCAACTATCATCAAAAAATAATATATAGTTGACGTTGTACGGTTTAATTTTCTTAGAAAAATAATAATAATGACAATTTACACTACATAGGTTTCCCGTATGTGGATATAAACAAGCATGTCGATTGGTACGTGCTGAACACAATCGATATGGTGAAATGTTCGCCGGCTTACTTAACCGGAACGAACCCATTGATGGGAGTATACAGCATAGTAAGTATATGAATTCCATGAATAAAATAACAAAACATACAATTTTTAAATTAGTCAAAATTAGCTAGAATAATAATAATACAATATTATCAAAACTTTTAGTAGGTCATCATGACAAAAGTTAATAGAAAAATGTATTTCGTTTTAGTTTTATTAGCTTGCGAGAATCTGCAAAAATATTATTTCTTAAATACCGTACGTGAGGTTAGGTTATTTTTTTTACATTGCCTCTGACAATGTTCTCATCGTTATTCAATATTATTACTCACTATCCGACGAAACGTTTATTTTCAAGTGAATATGTTTGATTTTTTTTTTTTCAGCAAAACTCAGTGCTTCAACTGTTGGCGTCGTCTTCGATCGAAGAGGAAAAAGTCGTAATAGGTCTGCAAATGTTTGCGACCGCGCCCGACGGAAAAAGACATTCGTACGGACAAGTACGTGTGCATTTAAATAATATATCAATTTATTAAGAGAAATTACATGTATATATATATATATCACCAGTGATTCCCTAGGGGGAGTTGATTTATGGAATCGTCGACAGTATTAAATTATTATCTTATTTTGAGCGTCGCAATGCCCAAAGGGACGTCGCACATCATATTTTCTATAGTCGAGAGCATAACAATCATTACAATATTGTAAACCCAAAGCAAAGTTTATACCGTACAGTGTGCTACAGTGCATGGAACAAATATAACTAGAATAAATAATTGCAAAATTTACGACTTCAATAAATTTGTGATTAAGTACGAGCCCTTTTCGGAGGGGGTAGAGTGTGCTAAGCAACCCTAGTTCAAGAATTAACCCCTCGAATCTTGTCCTCGCTATTTTTTACTATAGGTGTTTTTATCTCCATAAAAATCACTTTGGAAGATACCTTTTTCGGTTTTTTGTGAACATGTTTAGATGAAATCGAACATTTTTTTTTTAAATATCTGTCAATGACGCTGTGATTGTCCAAAAAATAAATTAACCATTGAAAAAAAGTGCTAATTACTGAACTAATAATTACACATTACAGTTTAATCTTTTAATTAAGATTTTGCAAAAATTTACCTATACCTAACTCTTTAATAAATATAATGCATGAAGGCTTTTGACATTAAAACATTGTACTCTCTTTTGTAGATGTGTAAGAAAGCCAATAACAATACCAAAGAATGGTGCGCCGAATCGTCGGAAACGTTATACTTAAAAGTGAGTTTTTTTTTAACGATTCAAAATGCATTACACAAACGTACGGTTATCAATTATCCTTAAAATAGTCGTTCAATAATATCGCACTTTCCATTTTAAAATATCAACGTATGCATTGATATTTATTAACACAAGAAAAACCTGTTTTTTTTTTATTCAACATACAACATATTATTATGATGAAACGACAACAACAAATAATCTAAGCCGTTTCAGTTGACAATCGTCAAATAAATTTAAAAAACATTCGTCTCACGTATTTCCGTTTAGGAAATTGCGTACCTAGGGAACTTCCGTTACAGTATATATGTATATACATATATATTGAGCTGAGAAGATATTGTTTTTACAATGTTGTGTTATTAAAATTTTTTTTTTCTTGTATTGTGACCCACGGTATCTCCTAAACCGCAGAACAAATTTCGGATATTGGGACAAATAAAATTGGAATATTATTCCAATGGAATATTTTTTGGGCATACACCAATTTTTTTTTACCACAGACCAAAATAATATAGAAAACCCTTTCCCCCAGAAAAGGTGCATTTATTTTTTTAATTTCTCATTTGGGCTTAATGTCTGAAAAGTGGACTGAAAAAGTGATGTACAATTTTCATAACATATAAAATATAAATGTTCACGAAAAACTTTAGTCGGACTATCCAATGAATCCTGTACGGTTTTTTTCTTTGTGTTCGAAAAGTTTGAGTTTAAATATTTAAGAAAACCGTACATGTTATAGCCTCGCTCTTTTTCTAAGTTTAATCTCTAATTATTACCAGACCTTAAGTCCTAAAACTAAACCTAAAAAAAGCGAAATGCAAAATAGTTTGCACCCCTTCTCGGTTGGAAAGAGTTTATATTTTTTTAGGATTGTCAACTAATTCAATAGTTTTATCTCTACAAATTATTAAAATACTTTGGGCCAATATAATATGTGTTTTTACACAAACATTGAAATCAAATTCAACGGAAACGACGTGCATTAAAGTTGTTATAAACAAATTTGTATTGTGTACCGTCGAATGAATAAAAATTAATTACACCCCTGGTGCAGCTGGGTAAACTTAAATAATACGTTTCAACAACGCTTGTGTTTATTTTAGCTGGTATAATATAAAACGCCCGTTTCACCGAGAAATTTCTTTCATAATACTATAATATATTTTATGCAAGTCTATATTTATATGTAGTCTTGCTAAGACTCATTAAATAATTAATTCTCTGAAACGTACATTTTTTTTTTCATTTGGTTAGTAGGTAACCTACTAGCGTTTTTTTCTCTCGAACCGATAACGGATCACTAATAATTATAGTTTTTTTTTATTACTCAATAGTAAATAGTAGTCTAATTTTTTAACACTAATCAGGTAATTGCGTGCAGTTTATTTGAAATTGTAACGCGTAAATAATAATTAGTTTTTTTGTCATTCGACAGCTTTCATCGACAGACCCTAGTTTCAATATAATATTATTATGTAAATAAAATCTATTGCAAAAAACATAATATATTTATACCATATTCAAATGTAAGACGGATTACTAAACAAGTACATAATTAGTGTTTTTAGCACTCTCACTGTGGATAATACTGTAAATCAATGTAAAAAGTACAACAGCTTCACTCGTATTAACTTAAGTTAATACACACAATGCTTGCGGTCAGTACTTTCAAAGTATTAGTAATAATATTGTAACGGTTGTTAATAATACATTTTAAAATATTATGTTAAGATCATATACTATTTGCTTTTTGTCAGTTTTAGAAAACCTCCTATCTCATCAAAACCGGTTGGGCAATATATAGTACACCTTATAAATTCATCTTGTTGGCAATATTAGTGTTGTATTTTCTTAAAAATGTCACAACACTGAGAATACAGGTAATCTAACGCACAAATACCTTAAAAAAAAAACCTGAATTTTCCAAGCGGCAGCCTGAGGTCAGGGATTAATTTTAGTGTCTTTATTTATGATACAAGTCTCGAACTGGCCATCAAATAACGAGCCACAAGTGTAAGTTTTTCATATTTTATGGCTAAGGGCGATGTCAAAATTTGCAACACACTTTTGAGCCACATCAATATCATTATCACCTATTTTTATCTTTAATCACGCCTCCTTATCACTATTCCTTATCTCTTATCACTATCCTAACCGCAATATAATAAACTAGATTGCTAACTTGTGATAAAAATAGAAGTCGACGTCCGCCATTTTTGTGGGATTTATGTGTGTGTGTGTGTAAATAATAAGGGTCGCTACTAGTTTTACCAAATTGCACAAATCACCAATGTCTATGACCAGTTTCTTATCAGCTGGTGGAATTGGTATTGATAAAAAAATAGTTAGTATTGCGGAAAATGGTAACTTCAATTATCTTAATTGGCGGCACGTACACTTGGCAATCTAGTTATCTGTGCAAACAGGTGAATTGTGTGAAACGTTCAGTCATCAAGATTAACAGTGGCTGGGTGCCATAAAACGTTATGTTATATTTCATGATTCATAATAACTGTTCTTCCTCGAAGAACTCGAGGAAACTTCATTGACTGCGCGTGCCGGTGTACTTAACCGATGTTTACTTATCCGCAGGGCTACGCCATGAGGTTTTTGGATATACTAGGCGTTCAGCTGTACTACGTGGACACGGACGATTTCATGGGCTGGTGCGACTGCGACTTCTATCCGGGTTTCAGGGCTTTGCACGCCGGCCTTTGGAACATCCCTCTGGAGTCTGTCACGTGTCAGAAATTGGGCCACACCGAAGCAGGTCAACCGGCCGTTTGTAAACTGACCACTGTGCCAGCTGCTGTATCCGTCGACCAGGACGATTCCACTTGATGAAACCCCTTTGAAAGAAACGAAACACTTAAAAAAAAAAAAAAAAATCGAAAATCGATTGTACATGTCCAACGTTGTTTTCCTAATGAATACATAATTGCAAACATTTCGACTTACAAAATACATATTTTGTCTTTGACCAAAGGCCCGATTCGGGGCAGTGTGTTCGGATCAGCACCTTCAGCTCAAATGTCAGCATTTCATACCTTAAGATTGTTTGGTAAAAACATTAATTACTAAACTAATAATTACACACGACCAGCGTGTGTTTAGTACGCACTAACCTTTAAATATTATTCAGGCCATCCAAATTGGACTTGTATAATATCACAGAACACACGAATCTAATATTTTTCAATTCCCCGACTTTGTCTTCGAACCCGTTATTGCCGTCCGTAATAATATAACTGCAACACATAATACAAAAATAATGTATGTCGGTACTACAATAATTATTATTGCTATTTCGAGTCACACGCGTCGCTTCCTTAACCGGTTTCCTGGTTAGGATTAAGACGGCTAATCTTCGCAATACTTTCATTCGACCGTTCCGATATAATACTTCCGGGCATTTTTCCCACTGAAAAATTCAAGAAGTAGACACACTCGGTAAATTTTTGTAATTTACATTGTTGTACAATATAATATTATAAACCTCAAGTCTTGGGAATACCGCTTTGTAACGTAATGCAACTATTACTTTTTACCAAACAAAACTGCGGACAGAGTTGTGCAAATCCTTAGCCGAATATTACAACGTTATTCGAGCAAGTTTTCTACAATTTTTGTTTCCAATAATTGGCAACTAAATATTATTTTAACTGGTTTTCACCTACTGGTCTTATACGTCACCCTTTCCCTCGCCCCCAAAATCGGGTAGACCCGAAAAAATTGCCCGTTTTCGACTTTCCCGTTGCTTCAACTTTGCCAATAACTGTCGGATCTAGTCGAATATATTATTCTCAATCCCTATCTTTGAATTGTCTCACATCCAAATTTCGATAACCCTCTACCGCGCCGGGGGGGAGGGGGGTTGGTACCTAGTAATATTATTTTAACAGATATTATAATTACATTCCAGAAAACGCTTCTATGGTAACTTGTAAGTTTTGTAATTTCTTACTAGTTTAGACTGTGCTGGTTAATAATATACCTAGTAGGTACTGTGCACGACTGTTTGTTGTTTTAATTAATTTTGTTTCTTTTATAACGTTAGAGTTCTGTGTTAATACTTAAAACTGTTCCGTCTATTTTTAAAATAAACACAAGCTAGTGTTGAAAATCATTACGTACCTATCTTCTTCGGATTTTATTTTGGTTTACGACATATAAATCATAGTGCACATTTAATTGTTTGTATTTCTCCAATTCGCTACCGAAATGTGATGAATTTTATCAACTCCAGCACAAGCATCAGTGGTTCAGTGGTAGAATGCTCGCCTGCCACGCGGGCGGCCCGGGTTCGATTCCCGGCTGATGCATAGAGTTTTGCTGATTTTTATAAAAAATGACAATAATTTTATTCGTGTTTTTTTAACTCGAATAGATTTTCATTTAAACAATAGTTGAAAACGATAATTAAAATGAAAAAAAAACGTTATATTAAAATGTCAAATAAATATTTACTTTAAAAAAATATTTTTTTATAGTATACCTATATAAATTTATTTTATTTTTCCTAAAAATACCCATTCAATCAACAGTAAGCAGTAAGTAGCCTATATTCAAACACAAATAAATAATAAAACATCATAAATGGACTTACTATAGTATACCACTTGCTATCTATGCATTTATGGAACATTGAAGTATTGGACATAAGTTTAAATACCTCTAAAAAGTTCATTAACGAATATTTTTATTAGAACGTACCTCATTTAATTGTAAATTTGGACTTTCGATACTTGACCTCTGCGTAGTCTGTGGTATACCGTGTACATATAACATTTTTTTTAGAAAGTTATCAGTTTCAATGAGCTGATAAAAACAATGTTGGTCGTGAATTGTGAAATATAAAAAAGCCATTTTGAAGTGTCATATTTCAGTTTTAATAATCTTTATTTAAATATTTAAAAAAAAAAATGATTTGTTTTCATATTAGAATTTTTTTAATGAAAAATTGAAATGTTGTAGCTATAAGTATGAAATTGTGTCGGTAGAGACCCGCTAAGAAAGAATTTTCCAAAACTCAAACCCTAAGAGGGTAAAAATGGAAAACGTGAAATTAAAAACAACACAAATTTTCCATTAGCTAGGATCACATTTAAGAAGTATAGGCATATTGTATGACCCCGGGCAAAGTTGATATTATATTGTCCATATTATAAAAAAACAGTCTTCACCATGTTCCGCTCACTTCACTTAAGACACTGTTTTCACATTTAATAAAAAGTTTTTATTTTACGTTTTAGCTCCGGTTCGAAGTCGAGGGAGTATTTTTTTCACCATAATGTGTTTTGTTATTTTATTTTATATTTATATGTTTGAAATTTTGAACCACAATAACCCACATTTTAAACCCTACTTGACGGATATCCTCATAGATCACAAATCGTACCGATCTTAAAATGGTACTTTCACCCTTAAAAAACTTTATTCAGCAATATAGTAGGCAATATATTTTAAACAGTCGACTCCAGAGTGTCTTGCGAGGGTTTGGAGCTCACTTTTAATTGATGTATGTCCTACCAAGTACCACATAGTTCATAATATTGTTGTTGGTCACTTCCAGCTGATGTAGGAAGTCGGGTATTATCTAATACAAGGTAGGCACGCGCCTGTGGATTAGATACAGGTACATACTCGAGTGCAATGTGTTGGAGTGACTAAATAATTGTAAAGGCGTTAATGTGTATAATACGTGCTCTCGTGACATAGTGTCACGCACATTTGTACTGTTACATTATTTGTCGAACAAGTGTCAGCTGCTGCTGTCAAGTCCTACTATATTGTATAGTTAGCTAAGCCAGGTAATGTTATATAAGGAATCCGTTTTTGGAACTTACAACAATCCTTTTACGAGTGGAATATCGTTTGTTGTCGCGACCAAAAATAATATAAATTTATGCCGTATTGGGGTTGTCCTAAAAACCCTACACACATAACATTAAGTAACAACACATATCGTACGTATGTCCGTCTGGAAGGAGAAAAAATAAATTAAATGGTTAAATCATACCAGCTCAAACCGTCTAACCGATTTATAATAATTTTTCACAATCGCTCTGGTGAATTTATATTTTACATTGTAAAAGTTAAAAAATATAAAAACGTTAGCCATTTAGTACTACGCTCAAAGGAAAAGCACAAACAATCGAATCATAAAAAACCGTCGACAGATAATAAAATATTGTTTATTCATCTTTTGATTAAATAGATGTGTGTAAATAGCTGATATATAAAACTGTTAACGACTTGATTTACAAAAAAGAAAAAATGCTTATTCATAACAGTCAATAAAAAAAAATTACATTTACGGTTTGTTCTGCACATACATTATGGAAACGGACAATTCGATTTTGTAGTTCAACCTAACGTGAAATAAATAAGTTTTATTTTAATTTTACATTTGCAGGTTTCTAACAAAATAATATGTAAAAGATCAGCTCTTTTATACCTATGTATATATTAAAATACATTACACATGACGAACATAAACGTTATAAAAATTCAATTTCAAAAAAAAAATAATAATAATAACTAATGATGATAAACAGTAGTTAAACACAAATTTTAATTTGTATATAAAATTGTTTGTAATTATACAATTAAAAAAAAAAAAGACTGAAAATATTAACCTCCAAGCAATTGTGTATGCGACGTTAACTTTTGGTACTTTTTAATGTAAGCACTTTGGCGCGACCACCAATGAGATTTTTTTAAGACACGACTGCTTGGAGGTTAAAGAACCTTAAACTAAAAACATCAAATTTTTTAACTAACCAAAACTAGTGAAATTAAATTACAATTAGTTTGTGCGTACATATTTTATTGTAAATATTTAAAAAAAATTCTCTCTCTCTCTTACATTTAACGTCCGTTATTCCCGCCGATCGGGACTTAGACGGTTTAGATTTGGCATTTTTGGGCCATGTTAAAATAAAAAAAAAAAATTAGGTTTGTGCAAATTAACTGTAATTTCTTAGCAGTTATTAAAAAAAAATACCTTTTTTTATTTTTGTTTTGTTGCCAGTTTGTAAAGTTTTATAACAGTGCAAAAAATAAAACAAAACGATTTAATGCGAATCTGGAGAAGGTAAAAATATATAAAAAAAAATTACAATAGTAATATTGTTCTTTAAAATATTCCATACGATTGGTTATTATAAATTGCTACAAAAATAAAAAAATTAAGTCATCAAAAACAGGGAGCTGTGTGTTGATCGGGTAGAGGTAAGTTTGTGTTACTCCTATTGATCTAATTAATTAAATTAATTAACTGAAAAAACCTGAAAACAAAAAATTAATTAATTACTAAAACTTGGAAGGTTCATTGCAAATTAATAGCTGTTAATATTAATAATACATTTTGACAATTTCATTAAAAAGATAATTGACTGATAACTGGTTATTTCAAATTCATTTTTATTTCAATTATTCTTTCCAATTCTCATTAATATTATTTTAGTTAAAATCGAAAAACACATTTAAATAATTTTTTATTTATTATTTTAATATTTAGAATATAAAAATGATTACTTGGATATTTTTTGTCAAATAAATAAATGTAAAAGTCTCGTTTATTTAGTAGATTTTTTTATTTTTAATAACTGTTAATATTTTAAACAATTATTTGAATTTATAAATAATTATTAATTTTATAATTAAATAAAAAAACCTTTTTTAAACAATGCCCACTAATGTTCGGAAATAATTTTAACGAGTAATTTACATCAACAATCGTTTTTAATTATCGACAGTAAGACTATTGTACGTTCCTTTGGCCAAAAAAAATGGCTCCAAAACGACAATGTCCGTTCTCTTCATGTTTGGGTCGTTTGTAGTAAACGTGTGCTTGTGCGTCTGCAGTTTCTCTTTTATTATGTTAATATGACAGTAAAGTATTGTCTTAATTTTATGTTGTGGCCAAATGGATTTTAGTAGATTTTTAATATTTGGCTACATTCAACTGATAACGTTTCACAAACAATATTGTTGGAAAGCTCTCAATTTACATGACACTATCTAACAAATAATAAATCATAAAGTTTTTGTTATTCATAATCCCTCTGTAATCCTGCTCCTTAATCCCTCCATAATCGTAACACTTAACATGTCGCGGACAAATTTACAGAATGGCCCCCAGCCATAAGACACATCCGTGTCAAATTACAATATACGTATATTTGTTGAAAACATAAAACTATACAATATATATTCTAAATGAGCTTATCCAACTATTATAAAATAAGTATTTACGTGTTTTGGTTTCAATCTGGTAACTGGCAAATAATGGTAGCATTTGATCACTTTTTAAATCCTTTGGTTATGAGATGTCCAAATTTTCTTTGGTTTTCTTCTGCATTTTCTATACAAACAAAGTAGTTGAAAATAATATATAATTTTTAAAATTAATCAAACTTAAAAAACCTCAAAGTAAATTAAATTTATATGAATCTACTGTAAGTAGAACAATATTGGGTCGACTCGTTATTGTGATAACATTATTATACTAGACAATTTTCACTTACAAGTACAAAGCGTTATACACTGCTGTAAATTAATAAAATATCTTCTATCGGGAATAAAATATGTACATATTAGGTTAAGAAATTGTAGGTAAATACAATATTTTAAATTAGTTTTGAAATTGAAAATTAAAATATTGGTCACTTTGTTTTACAGTGTGATTATTAAGTAAAAACAGAAGCACTAAATATTATATTTTTTGTACGCTTACTTTTTGCATTTTCTTCTCTTATATTTTTGAAATGTTCTTCGATGGACGAATTAGAATAATCCTGAAATAAAATCAAAAACAAATTTGTAAAGCTTTTACAAGAACGTTATTATTTTCAATAATAAAGCAAACGTATAACTATTTAATTATATCATTTTAAAAAAATTAAGACTGAAAATTAAGTGGCATTACAGCGGAAAGTGCAATATGTTTTTAACATTTTGTCTTACAACTTTGATAACAATTTAATTTCTTGTCCTACCAAATTCTGCACAGAATTGTTTAGGACACATCGTCGGTGCACAAAGAATAGTAACATAATTCAAAAATTGCCATCATCCAGATTATTATGAAAATGTACAGCAAAATACCCATATTTTTATGTGCAAGAACAACATTTTTGATAATTCTAAAACTGACTGCAAGATAGGTAGCTTCAGTGTCGTTCTTTTCTTATCACATAATCCCTAGTTTGTTATCTTTAAGCGGCTGTACTGGAAAATCTACTTTTTTTTAGTTATAATACTATTATTGTGCACCGGCGATATACTAAAGACAATCGAATAAACATGCATGTACTTACAAGGTTTGGATTATTTAGGAGATTTTCCGAATCGGTTGGGGGCTGCATTGATAATTGTTGTATAACTAGCCCTCGTCCTCTGTACATTGGTTTGTCCGAACAAAAAACCAGCGGCGGCTATAATCAAGATCGATGTTAAAAAATAAATTTCATAACATTTTTCACAAAATCAGTATTAAATTTAAAAAAAACATGTTTAAAATATAAAATTATTAACTCAAGTTTTGATGATGAGAAACCATAAATATTTATTTTTCAAAATAACATTGCTTCACTTACTGTTGTAGTATGGCTGTTGAAATCTGGTGGTAAAGTCAAACCTTCGCGCGAGCGTCTAACAAACTCGGAGCTTCTTAATTTAGATTTAAACTTATCATTGTGTTGACTCATATTTTTCTAGAGCAAAAAAAGAAACAAAAACATTAATAGTCAAAAAGTGAAATCACAGCTTATGGGTAACAAGGGAAATTTGTTAATTTATTTTTATATGATCTTAAGTGGTTTAATACGTATCTACCTAAACGCACTCGTTATCTGTTTGAAGCGTACGCAGTTTTTTTATTCTATTTTATTAATTGCAACGGCTGCTTAAATACGTACGAGAAGCATATTTTTTGTAAGATATGGTTTACATATTTCGGTAAACCGAAAACGTTTGCCGAACGATCGAGTGTGACTAACGAGCTGAACAACCGGCATACCATAAATACGCTTTGGCGAGACGTCGAGAACAGAAATTCGCTTTCGGCCTTGGCGCAAACGTACATTGACAGTGCCTAGTATAATACTGTTACTTAATATTTATATACTTACCGATTTGGCTGTATTATGTGTTATTCACTGAACAAAATTCGATTGGACCTATTCACTTTAGATTTGCCACAAAAGATTTATAAAAAAAAAAATTGGAAACTGTTTTAGTCAAACCAATAGTGTAACGAAAAAAGGTGTACAAAAATTAACGGGTGTATACCTAATTGTAAAAAGAATAAAAGAAAGTAGGGAAGTGGGGAATAACTTTAACGGTCAACGTAATCTGGACAGCCCAAATTAACAAAATACACATTAACGACTGGTACCTAACCCAACAACCATGGCTTTGTCACTAACCTACTGAGCACCGACTACGGTCTACGATCTAATTTCGAAATTCAATATTATCCTAGTACAAACTGCAAAATATAAAATATTGTTATCACAAAAAATGTATGACGTCATATTGTGGCATGTACCGTAAATCTACCATCAAAATATTATGATATGCACGCCATGCACCACAGAATAACCAGAAGGGAAACCCAGACCGGGACTGTTAATCATCCGACATTTTGTTTTTGCGGATTGATTATTGCTTTTTCGGCGGCTCCCGTGTAATTTTTTTAAATCTATTTAGTTTATTTTATGATTAAAATGTATTTAAAAAATAGCAAGGTAGTTGTTTTATTACGTCGTTACTATAATGTATTCAAGTGTAATTTCTCTAATTCACTATATCCCTTTCCGATTGGAACGAATAACCGAGAATGTCAAGTATTTTTGCAAACATAAGATTTAAAAATATCATAAACATGATAAGATTATACATAACATATTTTATTTAAAAAAAAAACACTAAAATTTCTACATCGCATTCGGTAAAAAACATAGTATAATAAAAATTCCTATTTTGAAATAAATTTTAAAAAACGTACAAGAAAATAGCACAAAAAGGTGTTGTTTTTTTTTACTTTGAAAGCAATTTAAAAATATATATTTAAATACATAAAACTAAACCACATTCTGATTCAGCTTAAAACAAATTTTTTTAAAAATAGATTTATTTTTGGAACTTATTCCAAAATTCTACTGTACATAATAGACATTGTTTTTAGCTTTTAAACTTAACCTACAAACCACTCAATGTTGATCGTTGTTAATTGTATAATTATTATTTATTACTACGTTTAAAAATATTATTTTACAGTTTACACTTGTAGGGCACAGGGGAAAAACGGTAGTAGTCACATTATGAAAAATTTAGAGTATAGCAAAACAAAGCTTGTGAATTACTCTCCCTCTTACATAAGAACAAAAAAAATCACATTAAATGCTATTCTAATAAAAAATGTGTTTATTTAAACAATCCATTGACATAAATAAAAAAATTATTGGCATGAATTGTAAAAAACTATTTAAAAAAAAAATTTCATAATGTGTTACTATCGTTCTTCGATAGGGTATTTAATAGATATATATATATTGAACATTTATAATTTATAATAAACTTACTGTGCATTTTCGTTTTAAATTCATTTGATTTCATCCATTAACCATATGCCATATTTTTTTTTTTTACAGATTTTTTACAAACCAATACATTCAACGCCATAACAGCTGCTAATAACACCACAGTGTTATTAGCAGCTGTTATTCGACTAAATGTACAACTTATCTGCCGTGCAAAGCTCTGTGTACAATATAACTCTGCAATTTGGTAAAACTAATATATTATTATTATCATTATCATCATCATCGCAAGAACCGGTTTGGAATTTATGTTCATTTTTATTTTACTAGTTAACAACAGAGTTATACAATAATAATACTGTTATCAACCTGTCGAATAACTGTCAGAAAACTTAATGGCTTATATCATCATTTGTTTTGTTAAAAATACATTTATTTAAAAAAAAAACCCGTTTTTTTCATCGCTTTACAAATATATTTATAAATTCTAAGTAGTGATAGTTTGTATATGTATCGAGTCACTTTAAAACCACATATTGTATGTTTTGCAACATTTTAAAACCTAGAAAAATCCGAGTTCAAATAATTATCAACTATATAATTTGAGACTGTTTTATTATATTTTTTTCTATTACTACATCGTCTACATAGGATAGTTCAATTTCAAATATATAAAGAGATTCGAATTCTTTGGCTAATTTAACTTTCATTTATAGTTAGTGTTTACCACGATTGGTGGTGATCGGTTGTATGCATGTTTGTTATTTTGAAATTTATTTAATACAATTATAGTTTTTTTTTAAAATCCCCAACACGATAGTACTTTAAGTTGTGAAGAAATAAAAAACGAATTAAAAAAATTGTTAGTGAAGATGATACTGTAGATACAAATTTAGTTTAACCGAAGTAAAAAATGAAAAAGTTAAAAACTGGTTAACCCAGTAAAATATTGCGTGGATCAATTTAAAAATTACCCTGTATTTATATAAAACTTTTGGTGTATTATGACCGATAAAGTGCCACCTATAATTATTATTGTTAAACGTTCGCAATCGTGTACCACCGTTTACTATGTTATTATGTAGGAAGCCAATTTTCATTCAATTATTTCAGTTTCTTGTAATCAAATTAATTAAATTTGCCCATTTTTCAATATTAAAATAGAATTTTTTTTACATAATAAATCTATTTCTTACTTATCTTGGTAAAGTTAATTCCTTAAGTATATTACTCTCTATTACATTAGTATGAGTATTCATAATTCTCACTTGTTATTAGATGGTTTTTTAAAAAAAAGCGTTACTTAATTTTTACTGAAATGTTTTGTTGAAGACTTTACGTCGAAAACTTAATAATAAAAAACACAAATATTATGTATAAAATAATTTTTATTGAATAGTAGTTGTTTTTGCTGTCCGCAGGTAAAAATATTTATTGCGAACTGGACAGGTAAATCGATACAACACATGTGAATTTATTTGTACAAGAACTCGCAGTCTGCGTGGCTGGACTTTAGATCGAGCGGAGGGCACAGAAAATGAATCAGGTTGTGCGGCTGGACATAGTTGTTTTGTGTTTTAGCGCACATCGTCAACCAGTCGACGACGGCCTCGACTTGCCTGGGCGGTATGGACGGCCCGATTCCAGGAACAACGTACACGGCGGGTACCTCAGGCGTTTTAGACCCAACTTCTGTGTCTCTGGACAGCGACGCGGCGTCCGACGCGCTCATCTTATCGACATACTTGGCGGAACCGTCGGCTTCGTCTTCGTACTCCTCGCCCTCACCGTACTCCCACTCGATCCGGTGCTCGCCGCCGTCGACGGAATGCTCGTAGACTATCGGCCCACCGACGGACGACCTGCTCCTAGACCTGGCTCTGACTTGATCGGACGTCATTTTCGCGGCACGTCCGCTGACCGTGCTCTGAGACACCGCCGACAGCCTGGGCGAAAACCTTGACGCCACGCTTTGCTCGTCGCCGCCCGAGTACTTTACCTCGTCCGACAGGCTGCTGGTCTCGCTGCCCGTGCTGTCCGGTCCCAAGTCGATCGGCAAGTCTTCCAGCACTCTGGAGTCCGTCTTATCGTCTTCTTTGGCGCGGCCGCCGTCGCCCAAGTCCGTGTGCGACAGCAACGAGAATTCCGACTCGGTGGACTCGTTGTCGGCCCCAGTGGCCGAGTCGTTGTCCGGGTCGTCGTCCACCAACGCCATCATGACCACCACGTCCTTGTTGACCTCTACTCTGACGTTGCCGACCGTGACCACGTTGTCCTCGCCGTCGGTGGGCGTCGCGTTGTAGTCGTCGTCGTCCCGTTGCGTGGACATCATACCGGACGAATGTTCTTCTTCGGCGACGTTCTCGAAGTCTTCCCGCTCGGCGTACACTCCGTCCGACTGTACGCTGCGCACGGACAGGCCGTCGTACGTGTCCATCGACGGATCCGGTATGATAGTGGACGCGCTGGGGAACGACAGCATGTCGTATTGCGTGGCTCCCACGTTTTTCCTGTTGTACAAAAAGTCGGATCCCGCGGCGTCCGACCGGTCGCACGGTGCCCGAGCAACGCTTTTGGCGTTGGACAGTCTGTGGCCACCGACGCCGCCGTCCTTGTTCTTCCACACGGTAAATTGTGCCGACGCTGAGTCCACGTCGGTCATCTCGAACGACTCGTCAATGGTGTCGGCGATCATTTTTTCCCAAACGTCGTTGTCCATCCGGCAACCGGCCGAAATCAAATCGTCGTCGACGTCCGCCCACGATTTGCCGGCTTCCTCGTCCGCGAACTCGGCGTCTTCTCCGAAACACTCTTCCGGCACGAGGTCGTCGTCCGGACCGACGTCGGAACAGTGCAGGCCGGCCAAGTACCGGTAGACCTTGACGAACCGATGCAGCGGGACGCCTTGGTCACCGTCGGACAGTACGTCGCACAACAACACGGCGGTGTCGCGTAGCCTGTCGGTCAGATGGGCTGCGGCGACACCGACGAACTCGAGAGAGTCGACGTCCTTGTGAAAACCGCCCACACGCACGATGTCGTCGAGCAGCTGCTTGTCCAGCGACAGGACGAGCCAGACTTTTTCGATTTTGTCGTACGGTTCTTCATCGCGGCACAACGTCAGCGTCAGTGCTTTCAAAACCGTCGGGCTCAGCCCTCCAGGACCCAGCCTGTAATCGGGTGGATCCAAGTGCGGTTTTACCGGTGGACACTCGCCGTCGGCTTTCATCCGGAAGTACGTGGCCGACCAGTAGAGCAAGTTCAGCGGCCGAGTGCGTATCGCCGCCTTGGTCCATTCCTTTAGCAGGCCAGGCAGATAATTTGGCGTTTCTATTGAACCCAAAAAAGGGGTTTTCCCCCTCAGTCCGACACACTTGTGTTCACCCGACATGCCGAATAAACTAATAAGGTTATAATATTATATTTTTACATTAATAAAAAACCAAATTATCTCGCCTTTTATCATTGTAACTGTTTACACTTATGTTTATTCGGCTACTAAGCAACATTTTTTGATTTAATATAAATTAATTTATTGTGAACTATGATAATGACTTTTTGTCCCTAAAACGGTTTTTTTTTATTAAAGCGTTGAGTTTTAGTTATATCAATAAGACATTTTTAAAAAATGTAATTAAGTATGTAATTTTGAAGAAGAAAAAAAGATAAACCAAAAACTAATAGTAAATAAAAATGTGTAAATCCATCAATTGTATTTATATTTTATTAAAACGTTTTGAAAAAAATTTAAACAAAAGTAATGTACTTTACATTATTGAAAATATTATGAAAAATTAGATATTATCGAAAAAACATATAATAAATATAGAAATAAGTATAAAAATATAAAAACAATAAAGCACAATACATAAACCAATATAAAAGAAAAATCTTGGACTAAAAATTAATTAAATAAATTGTTAAATTAAAGGAATAAATAAATATTGTGTACAATAATTAAAAAAATTGCCATCTACGACTAAAACTACCATTCCTATGGTACTCCAAATTTTCTTTGTCATCGTCTTCATCCGTTAAACTATAAGAACATAATATTTTAAAATTATAAGTTAAAAAAAATTGGTTGAGCAATAATATTATAAATAAGTTAACTAGAGTAGATCTTTAAATTTACTACACTTGAAATGAAATACATTTTTCACTAAAAGTAAAGATGTCCAATAACACAAGAAAAACATTTGTTTTTATTGTAATTATAATTTATAATGAAAATTTCTAATTATAGAGTCACACAACTTGAATACAACTAAAAGCTTTATTTAAATGCCCAGCCAAACTGATGAGATCAGCTACAGAACTCTACTTGTGTTGAATTTAGTCTAAGACATTTTTTTTTTTAATGTGGGCTAAGTTGTACTGCAGCGAATAGTTTATAACACAATGAAGTGACAAACTGTTTGATGAGATCACACTGTGTTTTTGAGAAGTAATTATAAGAACGGACGTACCTAAATTGGCAATATCCGCACAAACAAAATGGATCAGATTCGTTGTGATTATTAAACGGTATACTGTTATCATCTAAGTTTGGAACTTCATCGCCAACGTAATCAAAGGCTTCGAGACCGACCGGATCTTCAGAAGGCCTTCTATAAAATTATTCAATTGTTTATAAAAGATGCATAATAATGTCTTTGGGTTTTCTTTTGTAATTTTATGTTTACTTGAATTTTTTCATCGGTGGTTGATCAAAATGATCGTCCCTTAGAGGTCTTTTGACGCTCGTTTTTGAATTTCCAGTTGACCAGACACTGGGTTCTAGCGTGTCCAGAAAAGCGGACCATGATGTACCAATGGCCATACGACCGCCGGAGGTGGCCTTTTTTTCACCCTCATCGCCAGTAGCATTGCTAGCCTCCGAAGCCTGTTTCTCCACTCCGAAGGTTACGCTGCAGTAGTTGGATGTCGACCGGGTCGAGCCTGCGTCCGCACTCTCCCCTGCCGTTACCCGAGTATCCGAATCCCCGGGTGCGTTGATTAATTCTGTTGTGTTGTCTTCCATAATGCATAAAAAATCCTTTCCAGTAGCCGCACATCCGGGAGCCTGGTAGGTCGCTCCCGGCCTGATGTATTTTTCCGGGTCAGTTTTCCAGTCATCCACGATACCAAGGGGTGACTACTCCCTTGGCATGCCCATTGTCCGCAGCCGCTTATTCGTCCAACCCCATGAGAGGTTGGCTTATATCGCGGCTACCCTGTATATCTACAGGGCGTTCCTCTATCCGCAACCCGAGGACGCGCCCGATGGCTTTGGGCTAGCCACGGGTCATACGTTCCACATTGTCGGCCTAGGTATAACAGACATTGTTTACTAAAACATTTTTAACTTAAAATTTAACACTGACAAAAAGTTTGTATAATTCAAAACGTGTTTAATATCTAGTAAAATAGTAAAACAAACTATGTTGTTTAATTTTTAAAAATAGTATTTTATTGAACGTTGCCTGGATACAAATAATAAATATTACAACATTATGAATGCATTGCGGATTATGAAAGAAGACAATTTATAATCCATCGATATAAAATGTATGGTATTTAAGTTGTTTTAACTAATATAATGATTTATTTTTATAAACTCTAACCATCAGTTTTAACAAAAAACAACATTACCCATGATGATATAAAATAATAACAGTTTAAGGAAAATGCCATACATGTTTTAAAGTTCTAACAAAAAAAATATTAAATATAACGAGAGGTCAATTAAATAATCTTTTACAAAAACCAGAATATTGGCCAGTCAAAATCTAGGTATATATTACATAACACATTAAAATATCATATTAGTAATTTTAAATGGGTGTAGCGAACTCCTCCCTAGTGGTTTTTTTTTTTTATAAAATAAACAACAGTAAGTACTAAATTAATAAACACTTACCTATGAAAATGAATAGACGTAGTAGATAATGTCTGAATAGTATGAAAACGCAGTGAAACACTTAAAGAACACAAATGTATAATCTAAACATTTTCAACTATTAACAATAAGATCTTGTTGGTTTGTGCCTACCTTGACGACCACCGAAAACAGTTCCCTATCGACAGTACAAATGCGTTCTCATTTTATTATTGGCCAACAGAGAAATATAATACATATTATACCTCATTATTATGATTAATAATTCTATTCATACTTATACACACGTAAAAGTACTTTTGATTTCAACTAATATTAATAAATTTACCAAGTTAAATTAGTAGTAAGAGTTGTCCAAAAGTCATTTTCGACCAGTTAACGTTTTCAGAAACCTCTTGCTGTTTATAATAGCTACTTTATATGTTACTTGTGATAACAATGTACAACACAAAGTAAAAAAAAAAAACGAACCTTTTTAAAAAACAAAAGATTTTTCTACTAAATCCAAATTTAAATAGTCCGTCTTATTAAATATAATTGTTTCTAAAGTTTAAAAACCATTTAGTTCTACATTTTAGCTGGACAGTACTGAATTAAGTAGAAAAAAAAACATTTTTTGTTTATTGATCTTTATTAGTTAACATGGACTATTATGGCCATTAGCTATTACACTTTAAGTTAAAAAAAAAAATTGCATTTAAATATTTACAGTTTTTGTACAATGTTATTGTTTTTTTAAATTTTTTTTTAATATTTATTATTTAAAATATTAAATTATTAAATTTCTTTGTAGCAGTTTTAAATATTCATAATGAAATTCCTGTAAATTCTAATGAAGTTATTGACATATTTGCTAGAACATTAAGGAGGATGAAGTTGAATGATTGGACCATGATTAAATGATTTCTAGGCCACGACAATCAATCATCTCATACGAGTTTGGCTAGGTAAGTTTACGACACTTTTTGTTTTTTAGAATAATATCTACAGTTCAATCAAATTCGGATTGAACTAAAATAAACTATAAGTTACTTATAATTTGAGTGCCGCATTCTATTATATTATACAACTAAAAATAGGACAATCATAAATTAGTTTTAATATTTTTGTTATAAATCGTCAACGCATTATGTGATTTTTCCTCAAGCAAATACGTTGAAGTTATTTTTCTAAATTAAATCAACAGTCGTATACTTTTAAAGCTAATTTAGATGGTAAATTATAACTTATAAGCAACTTGCAGGTATTCGGTTCGATTTTTAATAGATACACAGTACATATTATAATTGTTGGCATTATTTTTAATGTTCTACTTACAACAAACTTTCTATTAATTATTTAAAAAATAAATTAGATGCCGAGTAGGACATTATTTAATACAAATTGTACCTTTTAAAATATTTAAGTGAATTTGAGTTTTTTAATATTTGGTTCATCATATTTTTTAAATAGAAAATAATTTATTATTTATTCATTACTAAAATTATAATTCGACTACAATTTTATTTGTTTTAAGTAAGATTAATTAATTTATTTATTTGTAATAAATTTAGTTTCAGGAATTAGGAATATTACCACTTTTTTCAACTAAATATAATTTTTTTTAATATACACAATAACTAATGACACATAATAAATATTAAATAAATCAAATATTGAGTTTGTCAGTAAAACAATAAATAATTATCATTTCTGTTCATCCCTGAATTGCTAAATAATGTTATACAAAAAATGTAAGTAGGTACCTATTTTAATAAATTTAAATTATAGAATTATGATTTCTATTCCATTATACATAGACCTATGTATGGCCGGATGCCAAAAAATTGTGTTACATATTATCAATTAAACAATTTAGTTACATGGAAAATTGGTTAGCACGTGTGTCTTTGAAATGAGCACTAGTTTTTTTAAAATAAAATTGTTTTTCATACGAAATACGTTTTAATAAATATGTTTATTACATTATACAAAAAAAAAAAGTGGCGGCACAATAAATTCATAAGACGGTAAATAGTAATTTTAATCTCGTAACGAAATAAATAACAAAACTGTCATAACATGTGTTATTATTCTTTCGAATTGATATAATATGTTTTTGCAACTAGATATAATACTAAAAAATCCACCTAAACACATTAAAACGTTGTAATTCAGACAATGTCGTAGCTACAATTCTTCAATTTCTGTTGAATATTTTAATTATTTAAAACCAAAATTTATGATGGAGATGAAAAACCAATCAATGGAACCTAAAATGGTTTTAAATAAAGGAGATGAACTTGATATCTCGGTGCAAGACTATACCTCATCAGTTATATTATGTTTGTGGGACTATTACATCTTCGTATAATTATAAATGCTCGCTATTCTTGAAGTTGTCGCTACTCTGTCTTGATTTCGAAAAAAAAAACAACCATAACACATGATATATACATTTTAAACTATGTACATTTTTCGCTAAAACACATGCCATTGCTAAAAAAAGAATATGTAAATAAACCGTTCGCATCGTTACCGTGTCGCATATGCATCGTGTCAAAAAAAAAGTTTGTTCGCGATCATAGCGTTTTCACATATTCATAAAAACCAACATCGATCTAGGTACGTGTAAAGTTTTATACTACAAAAATAAAAAATTTTTAAATTCGTTTCACTTTGTATTATTCGATAAAACAATGCGAGTCGCTAGTTTCCTCGTTAGTTTATTTATTATTTCCACGGAAATGTTCGCGGTGAATGCCCAAACCGATTATCGCGTTGATTTGATGAACCACATGTTTACTCAGCCCGGATGGCTTGGCTGGTACGAAACAAGATTGACGCGATACTATGTGGAGATAATCGACTACAAGACGAACGAAAGACAATTCAATATAAATGATTTCCTCGCACCTATTCATAACGGACGGATAGTCACCAAGGATAATGTCGTAGATAAAATTCGACAAGCGCACCAATTTTTGAGCTGCAGGTATGTCAGAGTGTTGAAAGAAATCTGCGATAACCAGAGGGGTATAGGCCTTGCGTGCATGAGAATGAGCAAGCCGAATCAATCGTTGAAATGTTTAGGGAATGCGCTGGAAATGCTCGAAAAAGCGGATCCATTAGTTAGGCGTATGCAAGGATCGCTTTGGTGTTTACACCGGTTATGCGTTACCCCGGAAGACCTCTTCGAGAAGGAAGTATTCGATGTCCTAGATGATTTAAAACATTATCACACAAGCATACATTTTTACAAAGAGTCAATCGCTAACGGAGATGTTATGTCCATCGTAGCTGCGCACATTGACTCTATCGAAAACCAAATGTTGCTAACCTTAAACCGATTGACAGTTTTCTACAAAAAATTCTGTAGGCCGATTCCTCCTGAAGAAGAAGAAGATGCTGGGATTTCCGCAGATGCAAAAAATGTTCAAACCAAGCTCGAAGTCTTGCCTCCTATATACGTGGTGTATGAACTAAAAATACTTATAAATGACGCAATCGAACCGTTTATAAAAACTTTTGACGAGGGTTTCGGTTTTAAATATAATCTGGAGTCGAACACGGTAAGTTTAACGTATGATCCAGATTTTTTTTATTGAAAAATAAAGGCATCCCTGATGTCTACAAATAATATGAAAAAAATGAATTATATTATTATACAAACAAAAATGTATGCGTAGTTTGTTATTGCAAATTAGAATAAAAAAGAAAATTAAAAAAAATTATATTATATATTTAACAAAAAAATTATAAAAACAAAATGTAATTTGAAAAAACAAGTATTCCATGTATGCTTTTATTTATTATAATAAAAAAACGATAAAAACAATATTTAAATCTACTTAATAAAAAAACACAAAGTGTTTAATACAGATAAAAAAAAATTATTAATACTCAGTTGACAATTCTCTTAATAGCTGGCATTAACGCTAGGCACCTTGTTTTTGCTGTAGCCTAATATATGTTTATAATCAATATTTACAAACTCACAAATTAGTAATTCTAGATCTCTATAAGCCTCTTTAACCAAACGTGTACCAGCCATTTATATACATATAAGTAAGTTATACAAATTTCAGAATTATTTAAATTAAGCAATTTAAGAAGTTATAAGCTTTATTTAATAAGACCATCAGTTTTGGAATTGACAATTGACCAGTCACTGGTTTCTAACGTTTCTGAAAAACCGGACCATGAGTCTTTTGATTCGATCATTTCTAAGTCTTCCTTAATGCCACCAAGTGCAGTAGTACCGGTGGTCGTTTGACCACCAGCGGGGGCCTGCTTTTCACCCTCGTCCCTAGCCTCCGAAATTTGTTTTTTTGACAAAAAATCTCATTTTTGTAGCCGCTTATTCTTTCCTAAAAACAAAAAGTTAATAATAGCTATTAATGCTTTTATACATTTGTAATAACATTAATAATTCCCAATCAAAATTAAATGTACACAATGTTCATAGGTATAAAAATTGAGGGTAAGAAGAGGTTCTTTTAATTAAGAATAATCTGTAAAACAATACAGGTCTTCTTTAGGAGGTTTTTAATAAAATTGATTCACGATTATATTAATTACTGTTGCTTATTGACACAGATGAATGTCTCGATAATCAGTCCATTACTATTTATACTTACAAATACTAAATAATTTTAAATCAAAAGTTAATGGCAGTACAAGCAGTTAGGAATGAGGCAAATGAAAGATTTTTTTACTAAAAACCATTATAATATGATTAAAAAATTATTAAAACTTGAATATGTACACTATTTACACGCCTTGCGGTTACTCCATTTGAATATCTCGACTGGTTCGCCAACGTTTCGAAACACTTGGGCTCTGGTTCTATGTTGCTCGTACCGCGTTCTCCTGTAGACTGAGCGCTTCTCTTTACCGGGCGTAGGTTATATACCGAACCACCCGCCGCAGTCTCTGCCTCCTCCTGGCGCTGCCAGCTGTTTAGTTCATCCACAACCCCTTAACGCGAATAATAGTTAAATAAGTCATGATTGACAAAGTTAATCATGGGCAATAGTTGAATCAATCATGATTGAAAAAGTTAATCATGACCAATAGTTAAATTAGTCAAGACTCATGAGTAAATGAAATTAATCACGTATATTAGTTATTTTAATCATCAATCGTATGGTTATTATTTGTGGTTCTACGAATAATTAACTTTTATTCGAAAAATTATTTAAACAAAATATTGATAATGCCCAACTCTGATCTTATGTGGTAGATGGTGTAGATAATTTGGGAGACACCTTATCCTATAGGCCGTTGGCTATCCAGTTATATTAATTCGTGGTGTCTAGTATTGTTCATAATATATGTATTAGTATAGCAGCTGTAACAAGATTGCGCTACACAATACAGTGAAGTTTCAATATTATTTATAAAAAACTTTATTGCCGTACAATTAGCACAGAAGGGAAACATTAAAAAAATGTACATGAGTTCTTATGAGCCTTCGAAAAAGGCCAATTGCCATATTGTTTCCGCGGCAGGCAGCCAGACCATAGTAGAAAAACTATAGATAATTTCAGTTCTCCGATATTTCTGGTCACACTGTCACAATGGCGAAAACAAAATGTCGGTCACTTATCAGTCCCGGTCTACGATTTTCTTCTGGTTATTTCACTGACTATATGAAAACAAATAGCTCACTCGACATGTAAATACAAACCATGACTGAAAATGAAATCGGTGACTGCTGATTCAAGCACAATATTTCATATTAATATCATAGATTAGGTAAAAAGAAATGATAAAAACTGTGATAATACAGTCAATTATCATTTGAATGTTATAAATGATAAGAAGTTTTTACAATAATGCTGTAAAATAGCTGCACAATAATGTATACTAATTCATACGGCTACACTGATCGCCTCGCGACTCATAGGGAATCTTTTTAGAAGTTTCTATTGTTTTCGACCGAATGAGCTATCTGTTTTCATATAATCTGTGATTATATTATAATATACTATTTTTAAGCGAATTTACAGGACATTAGTCTTTCTACATCTTTCTCTCTCTTTCACTCGGCCAAAATTATGTCTAACCAATTAGTGTATTTATGATGAGCGTTTTTGTTTTTCAATAGTGGCGTCAACATTTTATTATATTACTACAGCTAACTGATAATTTTTTTTTAAAAACAATTTTGCAGACTATTGTTTAGCGGATTATTTTACAGCGTTTTTCCTAGGTTGAAATGCAGTATAACGTCATTTAAACTTTCAAAACGAACTTTTAATAAGTTATTCCTTATTTTTTTTTAAGACACTGTCTTTTTTATTAGCAAGGCAGTACAGAAAATACATGAATGGTTAAAAACTGATCAGTAAACAATAAAAACGAAGGAAATTAGGAAAAAACATTAAGTATGTTATGGTGGTCACAATTTAATAAAATTGCAACGATAATAAAAGCACCCAATTGCTACACTAGTACAGTAGATTTAAATTTCAAACTAAACATTTATATATATAAACATTTAGGTTTTTAGATTTTTTTTTTGTTAACAGAATCAAAACGGAGGCAAAACCGGATGTAAGCGATAAATTAAAAATATTGAAATGTTCTACCTACGATATTTTTTTTTGTTTCCAATAATTTTTTTTTAAGCTGGAGATTTTTAAATAAAGGGACACTGAACTTTATAATTATAGTTAATACCATTTTTTTTTGTTTATAGATTGTATTATGTCATAAATATGTCGTAAATAAACCTAAATGATAAGTAGAGTTTAAGTTTAAATAAAAGGATTGTAAACCATATACATACCAAATTCTTAAAAAAATCATACAAAGGAAAAATGTAGAATGTTTTGTTATTATATTAAAACAAAATAAATAACAAAACATGTGTTATATAAAAAATACATAAATGTATTCACATACATTTTCCAATATTCTATACAATATTATAAATAAATAAATAAGTTATTATGCTTAATCTATGAAAATATTACCTAATAAAATGAATCGCTAAAGTATAATTTAAATAAATTTCAAAATAAGGTGTACTGGATATTATTAACTATAAATAGATCATTACATAAACGAGTAAAATCAACTTAAATACATTTTAATAATATAATTTAAACCTACGTAAATTGTGTAGTATTTTTAAGGAAATGTTTTTTTTTTTTAAAACCAAGTATATTTTATTAGGAATTATCGCCGGAGTGAACACAGAGTTCATGTCTCGTCAGATTGGACTTCAACGAAAACGATTTTGAGCATACGCCACATTTGTAGGGCTTATCGCCAGTATGCACGTTCAAGTGACGCGTTAAGTCCGATTTCGACAAAAAAGACAGAGGGCACAAGTGACATTTGTGAGGCTTCTCGAGTTGTGGGTTGTGAGTGCGTTGGTGTTGCATTAAAGTAAATTTCAAAAAAAACTTCTTGGGGCACTTGTCACATTTGAAGGTCTTCTCACCGGCGTGATAGAGGTTGTGCTGTACGAGATTGGATTTCGTCATAAAACTCTTTGAGCAAACACCACAACTGAAAGGCTTCTCACCGGTGTGCACTCGTTTGTGTAGCCTCAGATTGGCCTTTTGAGTGAAAGTTTTTAGGCACACGTCACATCCGTATGGTTTCTCACCGGTGTGTATGCGCATGTGCATTACAATAGCAGATTTTGTCGAAAACGACTTCGAACACACAGCACATTCGTAGGGCTTAACACCAGTGTGTACGCGTTTGTGTAGTATCATATGGGCAGTTTGAGTGAAGCGCTTATGGCATACGTCACATTCGTACGGCTTTTCGCCGGTGTGTACGCGTTTGTGTTGTACCAGAGCCGAATTGTGTGTAAAACTCTTAGAGCACAAGTCACATTTGTAGGGCTTTACGCCAGTGTGCACGCGTTTGTGCAGTGTCAGGTGGCTCCTTTGCGAGAAGCACTTTAGGCACTCGCTACATTCAAAGGGCTTATCGCCAGTGTGCACGCGTTTATGTTGTATCATATGAGCTTTTTGGACGAACGTTTTTCGGCACTCGTCACATTCGTAACGCCTATCGTCTTCGTGCATGCGGACGTGTTGTACAAGGGCGGATTTTGTTGTGAACGGCCTAGAGCACAGGTCACAACTGTAGGGCTTATAACCAGAGTGCACGCGTTTGTGCAGTGTCAGGTGAGAGTTTTGAGAGAAGCGCTTTAGGCACTCGGTACATTCGTAGGGCTTAATACCGGCGTGCACGCGTTTGTGCAGTGTTAGATGGGACTTTTGAGAGAAACCCTTAGGGCACTTGTCACATGGGTAGGGCTTTTCTTCAAGGTGCACGCGCTCGTGCGACACTAGCACAGACTTCATCGAAAACGACTTCGAACACACGCCACACGTGTAAGGTTTTTCACCGGTGTGCAGGCGGTTGTGATTTACCAACATAAATTTCTGCCGAAACGACTTTGAACATACGTCACATTTAAAAGGTTCACGAGCGTGCAAACGTTCGTGTCGCAACAATCTGGACTTCAACGAAAACAGCATTGCACATATGTTACACTTATGGGGCTTAACGCTCAAGTGGGCTCGTTTGTGCAGTATCAGATTGGCTTTTTGAGAGAAGCACCTCTGGCACTCTTCACACTTGTAGGGCTTCTCCTCGGTGTGACAATGATGTTGTACAAGATTGGAATTAGTCAAAAAACGCCTGGAGCAAACACCACATTCGTAGGGCCTATCGCCAGAGTGCACACGTTTGTGCATCTGTAAATGGCCTACTTGAGAGAAACACTTTGGACATTTGTCACATTTATAAGGTTTTTCTCCGGTGTGTATGCGTTCGTGTGTTACAAGAGCGGATTTGTTCGAAAAACACTTTGAACACACGTCACATTTGTGAGGCTTATAACCGGTGTGCACGCGTTTGTGTTGTAACAGGTGGGCTTTTTGAGCAAAGCACTTTGCGCACTCGTCACATTCGAACGGCTTCTTACCGGTGTGTCGGATGCTGTGCTGTGCGAGATTGGCACGCGTTTTAAAACTTTTCGAACACACATCACAATTGTAGGGCTTCTCGCCGGTATGCAAGCGTTTGTGCAGTATCAGATGGGCATTTTGTATGAAGCATTTTGAGCACTCGTCACACTTGTAGGGTTTCTTGACGTGGTAGCGTTCATGTTTTACCAAGGAGGTTTCTAACCGAAAAGACCTTGAGCATAATTTACACGTGTAAGGCTTTTCACTAGTGTGAATGGAAATGTGTCGTACAAGTTTGTTTTTCGTCAAAAAACACTTCGAGCAAACATTACATTCGTAGGTATTCTCGCCGGTGTGCAAGCGTTTATGTAGAATCAGAGAGCTTTTATGAGAAAAACACTTAGGGCACTGGTCACATTTGAAGGGCTTCTCGCCGGTGTGCACGCGTTTGTGTTGTATCATATGGTCTTCGCGAGGGAAGCACTTTTGGCATTCGTCACATTCGTAGGACTTGTCGCCAGAGTGCACGCGTTTATGTAAATTCAGATAGCCTTTTTGAGAAAAACATTTTTGGCACTCGTCACATTTGAAGGGCTTCTCGCCGGTATGCACGCGTTGGTGTAATACAAGAGTGGATTTTGCTGCAAACGTCTTCATGCATGTTTCACATTTGTGGAGGAGTTTTGGTAATTTTTTTTTTCCTTTTCGGAATGCAGAGTTAACCTTTACATTTGCACTATGGGATACTGCAAAATGACGAATTATATTCCTTCTAGCGTTAAACGATTTTTTGCACAGGTCACACTCAAACGACTCCATTTTGTTTAAAACTTTTTTAGTGGTTTTTGTTGGAACCTGATAATTATCAACCGAATCTTTTTGGTAATTTCCGTCCGTTTTTGTTGGGATACTCGCCTCGTCAATCGATCCATTATCAACACTACAACAAGCGATGCAAATATCAAATAAAAAATGAATCAATTATCTATCACACAGTAGGCAATACAAGCTAATGTTTAAATAATTAGAATGCGCACCTTTATAAAATATACGCTTCATTAAAACATTGATACTTACAGCCCTGTTTTGGAAATTGTTATACGTATAGGGAAGGCGGCTCATAATCGGGGCTTATACATTTTACAGTCTCGCTAATGAATACACTAAATACTCGTATCAGTTTCTATTCACAGAGAAACAGCCTTTGTCAAATGCACACCCATTAAAAAAAAATAACACATATTACTCAAATTGAAGAGCTTGGAACAACAACCAGATAAATCCACTTTTTAAAATTGTTCAGGACAGCCAAAAGAAAATCCATTGTCCCATTTATTACCATTAGTCCGATTTTACTGTTTGTTCCACCAAAATCTAGATATTTTTTTCGTGATCATATTTCCATGAAAAAACAATTTTTTAAAAAAATGGATTTATTTGGTTGTTGTTCCAAGCCCTTCAATAGTTTCTGTGGAATACATATTTTATGCATTATGAACGTATTACCAACTATCCTATATTATGTTATTCCATAAATTCAAACCTTGGATTTTTTTTTAATTTAAATGACAAATTAAAAAAAATGAGATATTTGAATATTTTATTCTATTTTACTCTATGCAAAAAAAAAGTACACTTATTTTACTATTAAAGAAAACCATTCGTTGTTTATTTAAAATTGCGAAGAATTCATAATAAAAAAATTATGAGAAAATAAATTCAAAAGTCTTTGAACTGGTTGTTATGTCTAGTACATATTATTTGCGTAGTCATTTTTTTTTATAATATTATGGACCGATAGTATTGCAAATTATTGTGAAATTTATAGATTTGTTTAGTTTTATAAAAATTGTTTTACAGTTTTTTATAAGCGTTTGTTCAGCTAAGCCAATTATTTTCTACTTTTGTAATACTAATTTCATTCTAGTAGCCCGTACTTATGCCTACCCTTGCTTGACACGGTCATATTAAACACTTATACACATAAATATGTAAATGAGTAAGGCCTATTCCAATAGTCATTTTAAATTCGAGATTAAATATATTGTTTTACACTATTTAAGCTGATAGTCAATTGCAAGGTTTGAAAAATGTAATTACTTGTATGGCTTCATTTTGATATTTTGGTCTTTGGCGATATGGTCATCGAACAACATATTTCTTTCAACTTCTACTTGAGTCTCAACGGTACAACTGTTGTAATCGTCTATTTTAGTTTTAGTATTTATCTCGTTGTTACTTTCAGTGGAACTACAAAAAACACAACGCATATTTCACATTATTTACAGTCAAACCTAAAATAATTAAAAAAGTTTGCTTACTTTCTAAAATTAATTAAACAAATTTGATTTTATGATATTATTTTAATCAAATGGTTTACATTATATAATATGTTATTAATAATTGTACATAAGCCCACGATCTGTATATAATAAATGCAAAACACTAAGATAGGACAGAATTGATAAAATGAACTAAAGAAAAAAAAAGGAAATTTTTTGGTAATTATTTATAAAATGTTTTTTTTTTAATCTCATTATTTGTGTTTATTTTTCTCTAATATTTCTTGAGGGCAGTTCTGAGTTGTCAAACAACAATAAACAGAATTTTCGAATTTTTGTTGCTCTATATCATTTGAGCAGTCTGTAAAACCAGCCAACGGCTTATTACCCTCCTCTATTTCTACTATGGATCTACAGTAACAACCATCCGTTTCATCTTCCTCTATTTTAATTGTCGACACATTTTTTATTTCATTTATACTGAAAGTCAAAATGAATTTTAATCAGAAAAACTAACAAGATAATCCTAATTAACGACTGGTTAAATTACAATAAACGACAATTACAATGTTGCAAACAGATATATCACCAACAAAAATTCGCAAAAATGATGTGTATTATCGGAGGCAACTATCTATGTATTCATTTTAATGTACAAGAACTGCCTAAAGGAATTTTTTTTTTAATACTTATCCTGAAATTATTGGAAAAAAGCATCGGATGATGTTTTTTCGTTATAGTTTTATTACATAACAATGTTAAAAAAAAAGTCTAAAATAGCTAAATAGCTGGACTTTAATGTGTTGAGAATCAATTATTATTTTGTAACTAAATGTAAACTTCTTGAATCATTACATATTAACGACAGGCACTACTAAACATTAGACAAAAATCAAAATCTGCATTAGCAGAACATGCGATGAACTCCGGAAATACCATCCATTTTGACAAAGCAAAAATACTGGACAAAGAAGCTGACTTCGAAAAAAGAATGTATAAAGAAGCAATAGAAAAATGCCCACAAAATTTTAATAGAGAGGATGGTTGGAAATTCAGTAACACGTGGAAACCCATTATCCATCTAGAAAAAAAAAAAACAATTCAAACCAACCCGCCAAATAGAAGCAGCCATTGTAGAAAACGAAAATTGCAGGTGCAGAAAGGCAGGCAGACCTAAATGTAGGGAATGCCAAAAAAACGCATAAGAACACGGAGCGCAACATGACTTATCACGACTTGTCATAACATGCTGTGATACGATAATACGCTCGATCCCCATTGGTCGAGAAATATGACATCAAGGACACGGCACATATAAATAGCGGTAAGCAATGGTATGGTCACGGCAGCTGAAGAGTCGAGACCATTATCGCCCTGAAGATGGCCTCTGCAACGAGTCCGAAACGTCGGCCTATAACTATTGACGTGGATAAATCCGAAAATCATCCAAATGATACATCAATCCAAGAAAAGCTCTAACGCATTCATAAAAAGTGGTTACTTAGGATTAAAAACAACGAGTCCCTTAGCATTTTATTTCTTACTTCACGATAAAAAATATTTGCAATTACGTCAAACCATTTTTTACCCTAAAAATCAATTTGAAAAATATTTTTGCATTTTTAGGCTTTTGCGACCATTATTGTATTTTTGAAAAGTAAATAGATGGGTAGCTCGACTTTTTTACTATAAAATTCGTAAATTTTAGTGGGTGAAATTTAACGGTGAAAATGGAAACCCTCGCTGATGAGGGCTGTCTTAGATCAGTGGGGGTTTGCAACGTTCGTTAAGCCATCTTTTCACTCAGTTATAACTTATATTAATTAACTTTTATAACTTTCGAATTTTAAGGTCGGAACATTTGGAGTGGAATGCACCATATTTGGAGTGTGATAAAAATATGGGTACCATAAATCTAAAAACGAAGATGGAAGTTCCAATAAACAATTAGTATACACTACTTCCAAATTCTAGACAACGGCCCTGATATTTATAGTAATTCAAATAAAACAGAATATAGTAAAAAAATTGGGTTTTTTTTAAGACTACTGTTTAAAAAATGTCGATTTTCAATAAAACATATTTATTCGATCAATGTAACAGTAAAAGAATCGCATTATACATATCACCAGATTGATTATAGAGATTCTTTAAAAAATACTACATATTTACAAAAAAATAATGTTATTACCTTTATTTGTGTAAACATTTTTAACATATGACTTGCGAAAAACCCCCAAAATAAACTGTTTTATTCACTAATTATGATTTTTTAATTTTATCTTTAATTGTTAAGGATTAATATTTTGTGCTGGTACTACATTATTAATTATAAAAAAAATGTATCAATTGAAAACAAAACCTGGTAAAAACATGTTAAGTCGTACTTGTTTGTTTAAGTTGGATATTTATTACCTTTAATTTCCTATCTTACTTCCTAAAAATGTCAGTATCAACTATTACGATAAACTTCTACATTTTAAAATCAATAGGAAAATTGCATGTAACTACATTTTTTTCTCTAGAAAACTATCAATTTTTAGTTTTCATAATTACATATTAAGCTTAGAAAATCTATTATTTATTAACGTATCTACGCTTAAATAAACATAAAGTCCCCTCGATTTAATCTATCACTCATAGGGCTGATCGCAGATCGAATTGTCGTACCTTTAAAAGCTCCAACTCTCAAGTATGTAACTATAATCACGGCGTATTGACAGAGTTAACTAAACTACACAATATATATGTGGGGAAACACTAGAGTGAGCCAGTCAACAGTTAACCATGAGACGGTATGGTGTGTGGTGTGAGGACCAGTTAGTGTGTGTGACCTGCGACGATAGACGTGTTGTAATTGTGATGTCGGTGTGTTGTAATTTTTGTCAATTATTAGTGTCTGTAAATATATTTCTGTTAAATAAACGTTTGAGTTATTACACAAAGATCCGATCCCATATATATATATCCGTACCTCAAAGCATAAACTAATTAAAAAATTTAATCATTCCTTGAGATTATAGACTTCATGCCTTGTCTAAATTATATTTCTTTTTTGGACATAATAGTTTTGCACTGGATCATGTTTGTACTATGTTAGACCTAATACATGTGATGTAAAGATGATATTGTTTTGTTCTAGAAGCAAAGTGGACTTAATACTGTTCATAAAATTATATTTATTCATGTAGGAGTCCAAATGTTGTATATTAAGATAGATCAGTGAATAGAGTGCTAAATTTAAATATAAGTGAACTAAAAAAACGGTAAATTTAAATGATTGACTTACTACACTTTTGTTCTGAGGTATGGGTATTTAAATATAACACACTTCTACCTGGGTCCCTGACATTGTTTAGGTGGTCTTGGAGAAGCGGAGTCGAGCAGACGCACACGGTAGAAGATAAAAGTAAATAAAATGTTAAGGTATGGCAACAGGGTATGAATACTATTATGTTTATTAATCAATCACTGACTAGTGATGGTAAGGTCTCAACTAATTAGCATTTTGTCAGGCTGGATATTTGACTCGTGTGTGTCAGAGCTGTCACCTACCTATCGTGTTATTGACTAGTGCTTGGTAATGTTTAGAGAGAGTAGTAAATGGTGGCTATATGTACCCATTACACCAATAAAATTTTAATTGTATTGTTAGGGGCAAGAGACTTACACAAAGAAATCATTACCTCGGTAACCTATGTAAGTACAAACTTATATTGGCATCGTCATGCAAAAACTGACTATGTGCAAGAAGTGACCATGTGAAATAACATTATAAAATGCGTTATTTGAACTAAGTATATTAATCTACAAAAAAAATATTACAAAACCATAAAAATAAACTTGGTCAGTTTTTTCATGACGATGTCGTTATAGAACATCTATATTATTTATAATCAAATGTATTACTAAGTTTATAAAATATCTTAAATTCCAAAATAAGTACTTATATAAGTAAAAATTGCAAGAAAAAAATGCTCGTTGAACCAAAAACTAAATAAACAGGCAGAATAGCTAGATATCAAACTTTTCCTATCTTTGCACATTTTAATGCGGTTTGCCCCAGTCATAACTTATAATGAAAATTTAACAGTTATATACTTCTTTTTCCATGGCTAGGGGAAGTTATTCTACACTGTATTATTTATTTATTTATTTATTATCTAGCAATCATGCCTGTTTATTTGACCATGGTGGAACCCAGTTTTTTTTCTTCAAATACCGTCATACTGTGACTCAGGTAAGAATTATGTACGCCAGTCACACTTTATTTAAGTATGACCGAAAATCATACGACTAACAGAGTTAAAAATCACATTACCTCTGATTTATTTCTTTGACTTTTTCTTCGGTAGAATTTTGGGTTGTCAAACTACAATCATCAGAAATTTCAATGTTTTCTGTATTCATATCGTTTGAACAGTCTGAAAAACCATCCAATACGCCATTGTCCTCTTCTATTTCAATTATGGATCTGTAGTAACATTCGTCTATTTCGTCTTCTTCGATTTTAATTGTCGACACATTCTTTAGTTCATTTATACTGAAAGCCAAAATCAATTTTAATCAGAAAAACTAAAAGTTAACAAGATAAATTTTACTAATGACAGATTAAAATATAAACTGAAGAAAAACAAGAAAAGGTAATAGCTAATATGCTTTATAAACGTTAAACTTACAGCTGTGAGTATTGGCTCATATTAGGTTCGCTTCCTTGTTTTTTAGTCACACGTTCCTTCAGTTTGTCAGCCTGATATGGATTAAGAAAAATTACTCATAATGAACAATTTGAACAGATGTACAGTATGATTTCAAAAGTAGTTTGATTAGTATAGATTATAGTAATTGCTCAGTGATATTTGTTACTACATGACATATTTCAAGCCTGATGTAATATTTGTATTATTCAGCAAACAATAACAACAAACATTAATTTTTTTACTCAGCCAAAGATTTGAGCCATGCAGCTAAAACATTTTAAATCACTATCTAATTTAACTAATTTGCTTTGTGTACACAATACAAACCATTATTGAAAACTGTTGGTGATGTTAGATTACACGATGTCGGCTTTAATCGTTTATTGTTATGAACCACGGACGTCACAATATGTAGGGGACATACAGCATCTAATGTGTGTTCCTTAGAAGTCTTTCTGCTTGCAGTTTTCAAACCATTCTGTTATTCAAAACAACAACAAAATTCTTACTCATAGAATTAAATATAAAAATATTTATTTAAAAAAATTAACCTAAAATATATTTCAGTATAATACACACCGGAGTATATCTTGTGGGATTTTAAATAGCTTGTTTGGTTTCTTCGTTAACAGTTTTTACACGTAAAAATGATAATGTTACAGTTAAATTTATTATAATACAACACAACTTTAAATTTGTAAATAAATGTGAATGTTATAATTAAAAATCGCGTTAAAGATAAACATGAACGTCTGTCATGATAAAACAATACGGTAGATATAACAAATGACAATTGGCACAACAAACGACAATTGGCACCAGCAGCAGCACCGGGCAGCAGCTGCAGCTAGCAACCCGCAGCAGCGGGCAGCTGCAAATCAGTTCTGCCACGTCATTCGGACTTTATAACTATTTTGTCGCGGACCAGATGAAACCGCGGTTTAAAAAACACGGTATATTTTTTAAACTGTGACAAGAACCTTATCTAATCTGGGATGATGTTATCATTTATTTTTTATGATAAGTGATAAAACTAAACAGTGTTTCTGTTGTTAAATTTTAAAACTTCAAGTTCGATAAAACAATTATTTATAAGTTATGTAGAGGTCACGGAAAAGATAAAAATTAAAAATCACGTTAAAAGTAATTATTAGTTATCAAAACTTATGATAATTATTGTATCATCATTGAATGATAACCTTTAATACATAGAATGAATTGCATAACCGTTCATTTAAGATTCAATGTACCAATAGATGATTCCTTAAACATAATTGACTGGCCCGTAATAGGACGATTCAATTTATTAAATTTTTATGCAACCCAGCATTAGTATATTATAAAAGTAATGAGTGAAGCCTATTACAAATAATCTCACATATGGTGAAAAGACAATATGGTTATTACATAAAACACCGTCAGCGACTACTAGTGCAGCTAATAGATACATTCGAATGTGACACCCGAGTGTCAAATTAAAAATGTATTTTTTTATATAAAATAGCGTCCGCGTTGTGGCCGGTTCTTGACAACAGTCACCATTATATTAAAGTAATGTTATAGCTTTGATAAAATAGTTTGTGGATAAATGGAACTATAGCAATCAATGGAATTGTAACAGGTTTCCATTTTATATTAAAGGTAAGTAATTGTAAATGGGTTACGTATGATTTAAGCAATTTAAAGCAGTTAAATAAGTTGTATACAAGATTAAAATGTAGTAAACAAGGGTTCTTTCTTTAATATAACAATAGAACAAACGTTTTGATTGTTTTAGAATTCCATAGACATAACGAAAATAGTCGTAAAACCGGAAGAAGCCACAATAGACTTCACCAATAAAAATCCCAACCCAGATTACAAGCTACAAGTATGTTTAAGAACTGATGAAGATTTCAACAAAGATTAAATGTTGTCAGTGTCGTTTAAAACTAAATTAAAGGGTAAGTACCAGCTTATTATGAATGAAAAAACATATTAATTTGTTTAAATAAAAAAGTTGTCTATAAAACTGGCTATAAAAGTTGTCCGTGTGGAAGTCTCATACAGATTCTTATAAGAAATGTGTTTTAAAAGTCTCATGTCGTTTTTCAGTTTACCGTGGGTAGAAGAGTTATCGGTTTACCAGGAAAATTCCTATTCTAGAAGAATTGGTCTCGGGTGGAGTTATCTTATTGATACTGACACGGACAGTTTCATAATACAAGTAAACCTGAATAGTCATTTGATGAATGTAAAACAAATTACAATAGAACCATTGAAATGTAAACCATGGCCGAGCTTGTGCTGCACAACTATTGGTAACTTGTTTCCCAGTACATAATACACAATTGAAGTACTTAAATTACATTTTTTTTTTTTATAATTTTGTAACAAAAGTTGATAATATATTTCATAGGTAGAAGAATAATCCATTTATTATCATTCAGGAGGACTCCATGAATCAATTTACTTTTGACTTAAGACTTAATATTTATAGGGTTTTTTTTTTTTTGATAATCATCATACACATAAGCTAGAACTCAACTTGTCTTTAATTATAAGAATATTTGTTAAAAACTTAAGTCATCTGTGTATTCACATGATGATCTATTATTCCTAATAGCTCCGGATGACCAAAAACCTGTTAAATCAACCTATGCTTACACCAAAAACATGACAATCAAATGTGACATTCCTTGGACGCACAATCTTTCAAGTCTCATTCACAATCAATGGTGAGGAAGTATCTCCTGCTGATGTTAAATTGTGTGAGCAAGTTTCCTAGTTATGTAGTTACAAGTAACAGAAGAATTATCAACACACGGTAATCTATTTTTCTAATTTATTTTGAAAAAATAATGATAAACTATTAAAGCATTTCATTTATTTTGCAGATAAACAACCTAAAACTTGGTTCAAATATCACATAATTAGAGTAATGTCAGACTTGCAGTCATAAAGTCAAGCTAACAAAATACACAGCAACTTCAGCAGATATACCGTCGAAAGTGTCATACACTACAAAAAGTGTCAGAGATCAGTACACGAAAAAAACTTTCACAGTGAAAATATTAACATATATTTATTTTTAAATAGGCATTGTTTATGATAATAGTACTTATTTAAGCACACTCACATTACTTTCTTTGTCAAACTCAGAAGTTAGTCTTGCTTGTTATATTTTGATACGTATTAACCGTAAAATAATTAACTTCATGTTTTTAAAAAACAAGTTTGTTTTCTAAGTATAGGGTAAATATATTATTGGATATATTTTGGTAGTTGTATTCAGGGGTTCGCAGTTATAGAACATTTTCAAAAAGGTTTCATTTTATAGCTAAATAATATAAACTTTAGTTTTCCTTTTCTATTACTTCATATATTGCTCTATATATGGCTCTATTGTAATTTGTTTTCATTCATTAAATGATTATTCAGGGATACTGCAAGTATGAAACCGCCCACGTCTGTATCATTAGGATAACTCCACCCGAGACCAATTCTTCTAGAATAGGAATTTTTCTGGTAAACAGATAACTCTTCTACCGGCGGTAAGACTGAAAAACGACATGAGACTTTTAAAATACATTTCTTATAAGAATCTGTATGAGATTTCCACACGGACAACTTTTATAGCCAGTTTTATAGACAACTTTTTTATTTAAACAAATTAATATGTTTTTTCATTCATAATAAGGTGGTACATACCTTTTAATTTGGTTTTAAACGGAACTAACAACATTTATTTTTTGTTGAAATCTTCATCGTTTTTTTAAAATTCTTGTAGTTCGTAATCTGTATTGGGATTTGTATTGGTAAAGTCTATTGTGACTTCTTTTTTACTATTTTTGTTTCGTACATTAAAAAAATGTATGGTCTATTATTATTTTAAATGAAAGAACTCTTGTTTACTACTTTTTAGTTTTGTATACAAGTTATTTAACTGCTTTAAATTGCTTAAATCGTGCGTAACAAATTTACAATTACTTACCTTTAATATTAAATGGAATCCTGTTACGATTCCGTTGAGTTAACTACAGTTACTTTTGTCCAAAAACTATTTTATCAATGCTGTTTCGTTACTTTAATAAATTAGAGACAGTTGTCAAGAACTGACCATAACGTGGACTCTATTTTGTAGAAAAAAATACTTTCCTCATTTGTCACCCGGGTGTCACACCCGAATGTATCTATATTAACTGCACTAGTACTCACTGATTGTATTTTTGTAATAATCATATTGTCATTTTCGTCATACATGAAATTATATTGTAATCTCTTTTACTTTTATATTTATATATGCATCGCTCAATTTCTATGGCATGTAAACAGTCATATGTGTTGTGTGCTATTATATTTTGGATAAATTACTATTGATTAAATTTACATGTAATACATTTAATCTATGATGCTACTATATCCTGTAAAGAAAAACCAATGATGTAAAAATAATTGTTGTATGATATACTCAGTTGTAATTTCACATATGATAGGGACCTTGCATATTAGTGGGTTCTTAAAAAATCCTTATATGGTTTGACAGTCTCTAAAATTGGCATTACTGTCACTTAAACACTGTGAACATGAGCAGATTTAATTTTAACATGTATTTGTTGATACTTGATTTTATATACATTAATATTGTTTGATTTGGACTGTAGAAATAATATGTATTTAAAATAAAAAAAGAATACTTGATTTATAATTCTTGTATTAGTTTTAAGAAATATTTATTATATGTTAACTTAAAAACTAACGAGACAAAATAGTAGTGAAAGTTAAAAAAAAAAATTGTTAAGTTTATTGTTGTTTTATGATAATTATTATATATTATAATTATTATTACTCACTTATTATGAGTTAAAAATAAATAGTAAATTGTTAAATTTTACTATTTTTACGTGTATTTAAAAATTTACCTCAAAACTGTAATATTTAAAAATTATTATTTGAAATATTATCACATAAATTTCCGATTTTAATATTTATTTTTTTTTTTTTTTATGTAAATACAATTTAAAAAAATGGGGTTTAAAAATATTAGATTTTTTGATGAGACACGCCAAGTTAACGTCATGTTACTTAGAGTGATTAAAATTGAAAGCAATTAAGGATGATTTGTTTTTTAAATATATATGAAGGAGAACATTAGAAAGCTCAATTCCGATTTCTATTATTTAGAAATAAGAAATAAAATCGAATGAACACATATTATTCTATACATGTACAAGTGACAAAAATGTAATCTACGGTCCTCAAAAGTATAACAATGTAGTCGACGTCACTGGGGACATAAAAAAATGTTTGTTATTGAAATACCACCAATACTGTACATTAGTAGGAACAGACGCAGTTTCAAAAAAAAAACGAATTCACAATTTACCATTTTCCTAATTTGTTTTCTTCATATAATAGATGTTTTAAAAAATTGTGTTATGTTTTTTGGTGCCGATATAGTGGTATACTTTTATCTCAGACCTCAGTCCCAGTATAATTGAATTCGTCCATTTCGTTGGTCTATACTTTTGCTAGTGTATCTTTGCTCTTTTTACAACCACTAATTAAAAACTAAACATATGATAAAAGAATTATTAAAATTATGTTAAGAGGAAAAAACAGTGTAAACTGTAAACAAGAAGGTTAGTCTTGTACACAATTCCCTACATACTTATCATTAATATTTGTTTTAGATTTTTACAGATTTAACACAACACTATTTTTTGGTTTTGTCTTAAAAAAAAAAAAAAGGTTGACAATAGATTTTAAAAAAATTTACATGGTGTAGCCCTACTTAAGGTAGACGTACAATCTATTATTTCCATAAGTCCCAAAATAGCATAGGTACGAAAAAGTTGTTGATGTTTTTTAGTTTGTCAACATATATTGATCGATTTTGATGGGAAAGGGGTGAACTATGAACATGTTTGGTTCCTTAAAGTACCTTTCTGGTACGATTTAAAATTTATATACCTGCTACATAAAGAAATCGGTACAGCAGATTAGGAGATATCGTGGATCCAGGTACATAAAAAATAAAACCCATTATTGTAAATACAATACCTCATCAGATCCGAATCAAACATAAAAAAATGCCAACGGCACGTAGTGTTCCCAAGCGGTCACCCATCCAAGTACTAACTACGCCCGACGTTGCTTAACTTCAGTGATCGGACGAGAACTGGTGTATTCAACGTGGTATGGTCGTTGGCGATGAAATAATGATTTTTGTCATCATTTATTACGTTATAGCTGTACACAATATTATGTTTTACTGATAAAGTTTAATTTATTTTCTCAAAATTCTGGGAAACTGGTTTTTTTATAAATCTTTACTTTAAAAAACTCATTTTTGTAGATCAACATTGAAAGCTCAGATAAATATAAATAAAACGTCTCATACGTACCCAACGCCTAACACTATTAAAATATACTATAATGTATAAGTTGTAACACTTACGTTATAGCTGTATACATTATACGTACAATATTGTCTCTTCGATAAAGTTCAATTCATTTTCACAAAACTCTGTGAAACTGGTTTTTAGTACTTTTTGGTAAATCTACTTAAAAAACTTGTTTTTGTAGAAAAACGGTGAAATAAACAAAAGTAACTACCAAATATTAGTATGGGGTCTTCGTTACTTCATTGGTATTTATTAAATTACCCTACAGTGAAAACCCAAAGAAATTTGAAAAATCAATCACTTTTATAAAAACTTGCTCATACCGCATACATTAAGGGCCTGACCATTAAAATATACTATAAAGTATAACGTGTAAGTTGTGACACTTTTCAGGTAAATATAGTTCTTTCCGCTCATTTTCAAATTGAAATAACAATAGCATACTAGTTATAATAATTTACATGTGTTAAATATTTCCTATATAAAACTCATTAAACCCCGTTAGGTTATGTTATAATGTCATGAACACTGTTCACTGAACAGGCAGGTTTAAAAATGGTGTGCTTTTTTTTACAATAATTATACAAAAAACTATCATAAATAATAAATTCAAAAAAGGGTTTTTTTTTAATACGTTTCTACGTTAAAGGTGTAGTGTTCATCGCTATATTAGCTTAGCATTTTTTTTCAGCCCAGCGGATTTTAATGAAAAAAGTGTAAGTATAATTAAAATGTTTACATAATTTTTGTTTTTTAATTGCATTGTACCTTGAGAGTTATAAGTGTGATCGTTAGAGTATAGGTTTAATAGTAGATACAATTATGATCAATGTTAAAATCTGTAAAATTAACTCAAATAAATAAGTAGTAGTTATGTCTTAAGAGTTAAGGGGTTGTTAATAAGAGGTGAGCTGAGAACAAAATGGCATAATCGTAAATACACATAATTCCCACAGACCACAGTACTTGACTTGGTGGAGCGCTAACTCAGTAGGTACCCCAATTATTGTTCAATTATTTTAACGTATCTATATTTTTAACTCGAAGTGAAATCAGAGTAATGCAATTTATCGATTGACTAGTTAAAATAAAATATTTCCAATAACAACGTTCCCATTTTATTAATACTTTATACCAAATCAAGCACTGTAAGGTCTAGAGTTAACACGACCCAGTCATATTAAAAATATTTTTTTAGTTTTATTTTGTATTAGGTTTGTGAGGAGATTTTACTGAATAAATAGCGCAAATACAATTATTTTGACTGTAGTTTATTCCGGACCCTTACAGCTTAATTAAATTATTATTAATACTTCAAAAAAAATTATTACATAATATTGATTACCCTTTACTTCGTTTTACTTATACTTCAGTCTTTTGCACTTTATCGTAAGCGTAAATCTAAAAATATTTTAAGTAGTAAAATTAATTACATTTGTACACAAAGGCCCATGAACGATAAATAACATACCATATAATTTTATTTTATTTTTTTACTTGTCTGTTAAAACTAAAATAACGAGCTATAAAATATGTTTCTGTTTAAATGCTAACGAATTTAGTGGCGATAATAATAATCGTATTATTAATCCACCAACATATGTAATCAATGATAATGAAAGTTAGCTATTAAAAAAAACAATTAATAACTATATAATAGGAATAAAATCACAAGTGTGCACGCCTTTATGTTGTATCAAATCAGCATTTTGAGAGAATGACTTTGGGCACTCGTCACATTCGTAGAGCTTAACGTGACTTAGTCGGTGTTGTACAAGAGCGGATCTTTTTTCAAACGTCTTTAAGCACTCGTTACATTCGTAGGACTTTTCACATTTGTGTTTTTTAAGAGAGGATTTGTTTGCAAACATCTTTGAGCACAAGTCACATACGTGGGACTGTTTACCGAAGTGCACGCGTTTATTATGTTTTACATAAGCAGATTTTGTTGCAAACTTCTTCGAGCACATGGCACGTTTGTATGACTTATCGCCGGGGTGACATAGTTTATGTTGTACAAGAGCGGATTTTTCCGCAAACGTCTTTGAGCACAACTCGCACACGTAGAGATTATCGCCGGGGTGACATAGTTTATGTTGTACAAGAGCAAATATTTCCGCAAACGTCATTGAGCACAACTCACATACGTAGAGATTATCGCCGGGGTGACATATTTTATGTTGTACAAGAGCGGATTTTTCCGCAAACGTCATTGAGCACAACTCACATACGAAGAGATTATTGCCGGAGTGACATAGTTTATGTTGTACAAAGTCACATATATAAGGCTTAACATCGGCGGGCACGCATTTCTGTTGTATCGGATGGGTTTTTTTAGAGAAGCACATTGGACACCCAACACATTCTTTCGGCTTATCAGCAGCGTGCGCGCTTTTTTTGTGTTGTATTAATTGAGCCTCATGAGAGAAGCACTTTGGGCATTTGTCACATTCGTAGGGCTTTTCATGAGTTAGTTTGTGTTTTACAAGAGTTTTTTTTTTTGCAAACGTTTTTGTGCACAAGTCACATATGTGGAGCTTATTACCAGCGTGCACGCTTTTTTTATGTTGTATTAGATAAGCTCCTTGAGAGAAGCACTTTTGGCACTCGTCACAATCGTAGGAGTTCTTACCTTTGTGACTGCTTTTGTGTCTTTTAAGAGAGGATCTTGTCACAAACGCCACTGAACAGAAGTCACATATATAAGGCTTATCAGCAGCGTGCGCGCTTTTTTTGTGTTGTATTAATTGAGCCTCATGAGAGAAGCACTTTGGGCATTTGTCACATTCGTAGGGCTTTTCATGAGTTAGTTTGTGTTTTACAAGAGTTTTTTTTTTTGCAAACGTTTTTGTGCACAAGTCACATATGTGGAGCTTATTACCAGCGTGCACGCTTTTTTTATGTTGTATTAGATAAGCTTCTTGAGAGAAGCACTTTTGGCACTCGTCACATTCGTAGGGCTTTTCATGAGTTAGTTTGTGTTTTACAAGAGTTTTTTTTTTTGCAAACGTTTTTGTGCACAAGTCACATATGTGGAGCTTATTACCAGCGTGCACGCTTTTTTTATGTTGTATTAGATAAGCTTCTTGAGAGAAGCACTTTTGGCACTCGTCACATTCGTAGGAGTTCTCACCTTTGTGACTGCGTTTGTGTCTTTTAAGAGAGGATATTGTCACAAACGCCATTGAACAGAAGTCACATATATGAGGCTTAGCAGCGTGCATGCTTTTTTTGTGTTGTATTAGTTGGCCCTCATGAGAGAAGCACTTTGGGCATTTGTCACATTCGTAGGGCTTTTCATGAGTTAGTTTGTGTTGTACAAGAGCAGATTCTTTTTTGTAATTATCATCTGTTTTGATTGGCATACCCACCTCTTCGGTTAATCTAATTATACTGCAACAAACGATATTTGAATTGAAAATAAAAATAACTAATAAATTACTTATCATACATTTAACACTAAAAGCTAATGTTGAAAAAAACAAAAGGTGAAATATATACATAGATGATAGAATACACGTCTGCAAAAATATGATAGTTTCAAGATTTTATAATTTCGATTATTAAAATTGACGAGCCTATGTTGACTTTAGAAGGTATTATTTTAATTTATGAATTGTGTTGAAATACATGATTCAAGTCTTTAATTATTTATTAAAACGTATTAGTTTTACCCAAAATAAAGCTGCAAATATTTTAAAGCTTTTTTAAGGTTAAAAATTGTTCAGATAAACCTAGACGTACCAATGATGTACTAATTATTCCAATTATTATTCAATTATATTCGTTGATAAATTAGTCAACATTTGAATAATAGCTCACACACACATATATATATATATATCAAATCTAAAAGTAAACAAGATAGCTTCTGTATTTATAACTTTAAACTTACTATGGCAAACGCGGCTGTGAGAGTTGGTCTATATTATATTCGTTTTCTTGTTTTATAATCACGTCCTCTGTTGGTTTCTTGCTCTGTTCTAGATAAAAAACAAAACGATAATAATTTTAAAAATAAAAATTAATTTAAACGATTATAATCATTTGGGATGAAAAAATTGTTATTTATCCCAAGAGATTCTAATTATTTATTGCTATAATAAGCGTCCACAACATCAAAAGCCAGTATGACTTTAAGTACATTATAATACATTCAATAATTTATATGAGATAAATGAAAGTTAGACTGAAAATTGAACAAAATTAAATATTTTTAAAAACAAGTTATTAAAGTGTTAAAACTTTTATGGATTGTATAAGTAGGAATACGATAGAGGAACGGTGACTATGTCTCTGTAGTTAGATTCTGAAGTAGGTTCGACACGTCAACTAACAAATGATAACATGGATAGATCCGAAAATCATCAAGGTAAAATAACAAATAATTTTATATGAATAGCTAATGACGAATAAATTTGTCATAAATAGTTGAATAATAAATTATTACTAACAAAAGATTAGTTTTATTTATCAATTTATTTTAATAAAAAGTAGTTATTTGAATAATTTCCAACTTGTTTTACTTATATTTTTTTTAGAGTTATTTATGGTAAAATATTTTCATAATATATTTAAACACTACCCACTGTTAAGTTTATTTTTCATTATAGAATAACCAACTTTGAAATTCTTTTTAATATTTTATAGATTTATCATGTCACGCCACAACGACTTTCAGTCAGATTTTCAAACTCCGAGTCCTCAAACTATTCCTAAAAAATGACGAAATATTGAAAAAGTGTTGATGATATTTTTTTTTGTTACTTATTAGACTATTTAAAGTTTACTACACATACTAGTCCTATTCGTGCTTATAGATATAACTATGATCATTGCTTACCTTCGCCTATTTTGTCTAGATCGTCTTTGATTTTTATTACATTTTCTGTTTTAATAACGCTACAAAAACAAAAAAACAAATATATAATTAACCAGGGGCTAAATAAAACTATAGATGTTAAACATAAAACATTAGCTAATAACACTGGATTAGCTATTGATGTCCACAATTTTTTTTTTTAATTTTAACTCTATTGAGTCTTTTTGTAATTATATAATTAGATATAATCAGTCATTACATTTATGTTTCTTTATACTCATTAATTATAGTATTTTATTATTTTTCTACTGTTCACCTTATGAATTACTTGTTACTCTATTTTTTGATTATAAATATGTAATAATCTCACCTATTTATCACTTATATTTACAACATGTATTGGGCTTTAGCCCGTTTAAATAAATAAATTAATTAAACTTCTAGTCTAGGACAGGAGGACTACTATACTGCTTCTACGTAGCAGTTCAAATAATTAATTTGAATGAAAAATTGTATGTTACAATACAGTTAACGCCTAGTAAGGAATTCAAACAAATTATATTAGCTTCATAGTCGGTTTAAGAGTTACTATTGTTTGTGTACGTACACTTAAATGATTTTGAAAAAATAAATCAAATTATTTGTTATTATTAATATTTATTTGACGGCTGAGATTCTCAAAAGCAAAAATATACAATTGGTAAACATAGAAAACTATAGGTATGCTTATTCCTAAGAGTAAGCTCATCTTACCTGAACATATCTTTGTCGTCACATTTTATACGACAGTTGTGGGTTGTTAGATTATTATTGTGTGATTTTTCTTTGTGATGGGCCATATGCGTTTTAGAATCAAACGATTCCTGGCACAAGTTGCAAAGAAACGTCCACGTTTCGTCGTTGGATATTGCAGCATCCAATGTTATATTTCCTTCAACTTTTGTCTCAGTCACACTATAATTATTGAATTCGTCCATTTCGTCGGTCTATACTTTTGCTAGTATATCTTTGCTTGTTTTACAACCACTAATCAATAACTAAACATATGATAAAAGAATTATTAAATTATGTTAAGAGGAAAAAAAACAGCGTAAACTGTAAACAAGAAGGTTAGTCTTGTACACAATTCCCTACATACTTATCATTAATATTTGTTTTAGATTTTTACAGATTTAACACAACACTATTTTTTGGTTTTGTCTTAATAAAAAAAAAAAATTGACAATAGATTTTAAAAAAATTTACATGTTGTAGCCCTACTTTAGGTAGACGTACAATCTATTATTTCCATAAGTCCCAAAATAGCATAGGCACGTAAAAGTTGTTGATGTTTTTTAGTTTGTCAACATATATTGATCGATTTTGATGGGAAAGGGGTGAACTATGAACATGTTTGGTTCCTTAAAGTACCTTTCTGGTACGATTTAAAATTTATATACCTGCTACATAAAGAAATCGGTACAGCAGATTAGGAGATATCGTGGATCCAGGTACATAAAAAATAAAACCCATTATTGTAAATACAATACCTCATCAGATCCGAATCAAACATAAAAAAATGCCAACGGCACGTAGTGTTCCCAAGCGGTCACCCATCCAAGTACTAACTACGCCCGACGTTGCTTAACTTCAGTGATCGGACGAGAACTGGTGTATTCAACGTGGTATGGTCGTTGGCGATGAAATCATGATTTTTGTCATCATTTATTACGTTATAGCTGTACACAATATTATGTTCTACTAATAAAATCTAATTATTATTAATTCTGTTAAACTGATTTTTTGTACTTTTTGGTATATCTTTACTTAAAAAAAAACTTGTTTTTATAGGAAAACGTTGAAACCTCTGATAAACAAAAATAACTACCAAATACCAATAAAGGGTCTTCGTAACTCAGGGTTTAGTACATTACACTATAGTAGAAAGTTAAATTTAAGTCATTTTATAAAAATTTTTACAAAATTAAACTTGAAAAAAGCTGAGAAACACAAAAAAAAACCAGTTTAAGATTTTGAGCTAAGGCTAGAGTAAAGTAGAAGCATAATAATGTTTTAGGCTTTGTTTTGTGTGACGCGAAGTACGAATTTTTTAACATGATCACTAAAGCTCGGATGTTTATGATTTTGCAATTTTTTTAGTAAAATCAGATTTATACCCAAATAAGATAATCAATTCGATTCACAAAGACTAAATTTGAAATCGGAAAACTTATATTGCATATATTTGACGCATATTATGTTCCATTATATTTTTATCGTTTATCGTGTTTACGAGTATGAGTTATAAGAAAAGTATACACAATAGTATAGAAAAAGTATTATACGAAAATTCTGGTCCAAAATGTCTAAAATAATTGTCATTGTTCTTTTAAATTTAAAAACACCGCCATAAAAATTGTAATTTAATGTATTCTGATACATAAAACACTTTTTAAATAATTAACATATGTAAATGTTATTTAAATTATGTCAAGACAGCCATTTGAAAACTCGGCCAACATTTTTAGCAAACGTGTTAATTAAGGCATATGTTGACATTTTAAAATGCATATTTTAATACATTTATGGTCATTAATGCCCGAGCTCTAATGATCAATATGATACAATACGATGCATTATTATATGATACTATTAAACTTATGCTAAGGTTTGACATTTATTCCCATTTCCAAAAACAAAAATAACTACAGTACAACACACAACCGTGAACAGAATACAATTGAGTAAACGAGTAAACAAATGCAGTGGGTAAACGTGCATTTAGAATTTAGTGTTATCGCATTCGGAAACCAAATCTCAAAAACAAACCAACATTTTTTTCTTTACTCCACAACCCGAAGAAAGTGAACCAGTTGACCCCTTGACTCCTTAAAAGGACTTTATAACCCTAAACCCCTTTATAGAACTGAATTTGTAAACAATAATAACTGTTTTTCTAGGAATCAAGTCTCTAAAATGTTGTCCCCTTTCATTTTTATTGTAGGCATTTTTTTGGGAGAGGGGGTAGAATATTAAAATTTGTGAAAACTTGAGATCACATTATATGAAAACAGTATAGAAAAAAAAAAGTTCAGTTATTAATTAGAGATATTGAGTGGTCCACGATCACCTTGTATCCAATTCGGATTTTTATTATGTGAAAATTTAAAAAAAATTGTTGAGGTTAACATATTGAAGCAGGAATTTTTTTTCATTCAGCATTAGCAAAACAATTTTTTTAATAATATACCGCGTACACTACAAGAGTCCAAATGCACGCCGTACTCGATTGGAACCTCTTTCAAATATTTCCATATCATGTTTCATTTAAATCCAAAACTGATGAAAAAAATACAGTTTGACTAAAATATTTGTCGGTATTCCGTATAAATAATATTATATATCATTCCGACGACTTTATAGTAGTTTATTTTAATCGCTATTTAAAGATAGAAAATAGACAGCCCTCATTGCGCCAGGTGGTTTTAGTTTATATCTATAGTTAGTTATTAAAAGGCCTAAAACATAAAATCAACTAATGAGCATCAATAAATCAAGTAGGTATCTATTAAGAAAAAATTTTAAAATCCAAAACAAATTGATAAGATAAGATAGCGTCATAAGTTCAATATCATAATTTAATAATATGTAGACTCCTATTTTATAATGTCCAATTCCATTTAATTGAATAGTTAATGCAATAACGGAAGTACGATACATGTACAACAGTTGGACATTATATAACTATCTAAAATGAAATGACTTGGTAAGCCAATTAACACGATAGTCGATAACAGTTTCTGACTATTAAAAATAATTACGTTACATAATTCATTAATAACAAAATTGACCCGTTAAATCTGTATCGGCCGATTAAAATAAATCAAAGGTCTTTAAATGATTTTCATATAAAAAAAGTATTGGGTACTTACCTAAAGGCTTCACGTGTTCAAAAAAAAACTTTTTTTACTAATATTTAGTATAGGTTACACTTTACCATATAAATAATGAATAATGATCAAACTTCAATGAGTTTATGAGTTTTACGGTTCACCACCGGCTAGGTAAAAATGAACGTTGAAAAATCAATAATATCGATTAAACGAAACAGGTACACGTCCACTACTCCTAACGGTTAAAACGTTATTATATTTTTATTGTTATAGCGGTTTTATTCGTTTGGCGAGACATTTTACACCTTTTAAAATTATTAAATGGTCACACAGAGTAATAATAATTATCCTAAACAATTGAGATTCATGGCAAATGCAACAGATATGTTATTATATTTTTACTAGACTTTTCAACACAAATGTATTGAAAACGTTTAATGATTTTAAAACTACATTTTTTTTAAAATTTATTAATATTTTGTATATTTTACATTCCCTATACTCGATAGTCGACATTCTTATACAAATGCCTACTCCACTGAACTCTGTGTTACCATAAAGTCGGTTACCATCCTAACACGGTGAACACATGACGTTTCTCTTGATAACAAAATACAAATCAATGATAACAAATGAACTACAGTATTAATAACATTAATTATTATTATTATTATTATTACTATCGAATTAATTTATTATTATTATAGTTATAGTTCAACCGGTTAATACTATATTAACGATTATTTGATTTTATATACTATTGTGTAACCATTGTCTTCAGTCGTGTATTGTGTTGTACCGGGTTAGACAAATTTTACATTCCGTAAGTAAACTTTTTTTCCAACTAACAACATTTTATGAATAATAGTATTGCTTAACTTTGCTGACGGTTGCATAATTTGATTTTTCAGGTAGACTAATATCGGGACGATGTCAAACGGCGGTACGGCATACGCCGATTCCTTGCCCAATGTCGCTGCGCATCTCCCTTCTATGTTTATGTCTTGGCGTACCAGACTTCCATCTCACGTTCTCGCCATACGGCCGTGGTCGTTGAGTGCATCAATAATACCGACATTGTTAGGGTGCACCATTGCACAGAAGCTGAACCAGAATATTGAATTCAATTTACTGACATTACTGTTGACCTTGCTCACCGTGGCGTTAGTCCATGGAGCTGGAAATGTGGTGAATACATATTATGATTACGTCCGAGGTATTGATGGCCGCAACAGTGACGACCGCACTTTAGTTGATAGGATTTTGTCTGAAAATGAAGTGGAAAGGCTGGGGGCAATATTGTACTTTTTAAGTTTTGTTACTTTCTTTTGGCTGGCACTTATATCTCAAGCAAAAATGGGTCATTTAGCTGCTGCCTACCTTTGGGGCTTAAGTGTATCTTTTCTATACACCGGAGGCTTCGGATTCAAATACATTGCATTAGGAGATGTAATTTTTTTAATACTATTTGGACCTGCTTCAGTTTTGTTTGCATATCTGTCCCACACCGGTGAACTCAATCTAGAACCTATTTACTATGCAATACCGTTGGCACTGAATACTGAAGCCATATTGCATAGCAACAATACTAGAGATTTAGAAAGTGACAGAAAAGTTGGTATTGTTACATTAGCGATATTGATTGGCCGAACAGCTTCGATAATCTTTTACGGATTTTTATTATTTACGCCTTACATAATGTTCGTCGTTTTGTCTGTAAGGTGCTCTAAATGGTTCTTGTTGCCATTAATAACCATGAGCTATGCCTTTAAAATTGAAAGAGAATTTAGAAATGGTATTAATGTTCAGTCGATACCCAAACGAACTGCTAAATTAAATTGTATTTTCGGTATTTTATATATATTTGCCGTAATGGCAGCTGACAAATCAAACTTGCCATTTAGTATTAAATGAAGCGCTTTATTTTCATAGATAATGGTTATTAGTATCAGTGATTTGTTTTATAGTTTGCAACAGTCATAAAGTTGTTCCTTATGAGAGTGTTGACATTGTAACGAAAACTTTATTGTGAATTTATTTAGTTAATAAATATACATCTATACATAAATAATTATTTTAATTTTCATCTAGATAATACTTGCGTTTAAATCTATAGGTTTGTTTTTTGTATGTACTATGTTAAAAATTAAAACTATATAGATACAATTATTAATGCTGTCTAGCGTATGCATATATTTATTTAAATATTAATTGCCTATTTAGACAAGCACCTAATATTGATTAGGTCGAAATACATCGCGCATTTTATGATACCAAAATTATTCTTAGGTTGTTTTTTTTTTTTTATGACAATTTGTATTGATTTTAAGGAAAAATATAATTTACTTATTGCCAATAAGAACAATTGTTTTTTATTTGTTTTTTAGTTAATAGTTATTATTCTATAGTACATTATAATTAGTATTACAACTAATAAGTCAGATAGGTTTTAAAATTCATAAAATATGTGATTATATTTTGTATTAAACCTTGAATCATTTGTCAAAATAAAGCTGTATCTTTGTAATAATAATATAAACGTCATATTTTTCATATCTAGTATAATTTTAGTTAAGACATTTTTTAACGACAAATAATTCTTTTTGTTCGGTTTATACTGCTTGTATTCTTTAAATGCTATACATAATATTAAAATCAAAGTCTTCCTGTGCTACATTTGTGTGTATATATAATAAAATTATAAATTTTGTAAATAATCGATGGACTATTAACAATCACTCTTTGATATAAAATATGTAATATTTTTTATATAATTGGACCAATCAAATAGTTTATGTGTGGTCTAAATGTTGGCCACAAATCATAATATGTTTATGTATTCTTTTATTAAAACGACAAACGCGTTAAAGTGTAATGATGTTAATAGATTTATTGTCATTAATATGTGTTTAGTATTTAACTTGTAAAACCAAAAGTCTAGGAAGTTGTAGCACTTGAAATAAATCACTCAGCATATAGTTTACGTAACAGTTAAATTTTGTTTTACTCAACATTGTATGTGTACTGTGTATTTTTTAGTTATTTTTATAAATAAACATAAGTATGTAGAGGGCCTACTGACGCCTTGCTATTGGCAGCGCTCGGGTTCATGTACTTATTAGAGCACACGTTATAAAAAATAGAACATTATAATTTATATATAATATGTACCTATGTTGGTCGAAAAATAACTGTGTCAATTAGTTGTAAATTTAAGAGCATAAATAAATCATTTTTAAAACTTATACACATAGGATATAATTATTTCCTTATATACTTGACTATATTATTCTGAAATGATTCCGTTGGTTGTGTAATAATTCTGATTTGGAATCTTTTGCAACTAACAAATCATAAGACTGCATTGGGTATTTTCTCTAGTTAATTAATTCCAATCTGAATTAATATTTTATTTATTATAGTAATGTGTCAAAGAAAGTATATGAACATTTTATGGTAATGGCTAAGACGTAGTCATATCCTACATTTTTTAACTTCCTGTTAAGAGGGCGTCACACACCCGTTATTTTCTTCAAAAAACCCGCCTTGCGCGGATTAATTTTACAAAGGCTATAATCAAAACTAAGAAACCAAATTTTTACATAATACAGAGAACAACATTGTCTGTGTTCTATCATCGCCCTTTTTTTAATATATCAACCAGTTAATGAATAATTAATTAATTAAGAAAGGACTTTTTTTACTTTTTTAAAAATGATATAGTGTTGGTTGTATTAGGTATATCGAAAAAATACGGATAATGGAACAAAGATAGTTTTGTCATAAATAATATGTATGAATTTCTTTCCTTAACTATATATGAAGCCTGAGAAAAATCAATCCGCGCAAAGCAGATTTAATGGCAAAAAAATTTTATTTTATCCTATAGAAATGACTATGTTAGTCTGCCAAAAAAAAATGGCAATCAACAAAGTATCCTTAATACTGTACTAATAAGTATACATTATAGTTCAAACTCTAAATTAAGATTTTTCGAAAAATTGCCTATACTTTACTCCTTAGAAATGGCTGGTGTGGCGTCCTCTTAAGGGGACATCGCCCCTCAAAATAATAGCACCAAAATAGTACTTTTGTATTTCCAATAGTATAAAGTCTACAATGCACGCAGGGATATAAATTATAAATTGTTTGAATGATGAGAACTTTTACTATGCTTTGTTGGAATTAGATTTTAATTTTAAGATAAATACATTTGAATAATTAAAACTATGCCCTTTCTTTATGCTATATGTTTCATATCCAAACCAAGTATCGAAAATTGGTTTCCAACAAAACAAAGAAAAAGTTATCATCTAGAACATTTTATAAATGGGTTTTTTACCCTAAAACCACCCAGTAAGCCGTGTTTTTGGAATTAGAAAACTATGTTTAGATGAAAAAGATATTTAAAATCAATGACAAAGATGCTGCGATAGTCCGAAAAATAAATTAACTGCCTCAAAGAATTCTTATTACTAATCTAATAATTACAAATTACAATTTAAGCTTTAAATTGAGATTTTGCAAAAAACTGCCTATATCTAACTTTAATAAATAGCAGTACGGCGTCCCCTTAAGCAAATAATGTATAATTTAAATATTTCCTAAGGTCTGCATGGAAAAATTATTAACAAGATAAAAAAAATATATAACTGCGCTTTGGAAAAATTATATAAATTTCAACTATTAAGGCTTCCTTACCTAATATGTAGGTAAATTAATATAAGCAATATTGTTTGAAATTAACGATTTTTCAATATAATTTATATTCTATCCAAAGTGCAAAAAAAATATTTCAATAGAGACAAAAACGAATTTAACATTTAAGTAAATTAAACGTAAAATTAATTTGGAAATTGTTGTGGGATTTGAAAAATATTTACGAAGTTTTTGAAATATTTATATTTTTTTGCCTTATTTGACAATAATTTACCGCAGTAATTATTATTAAATTTTTATTTAGTTTATCCGTTTTTTTTACGTTCAGCTTAACTTTTCCATTGATAGTAGCCTAATAAATTAACAAATCCTAAACATTTCAGATCCAAGGCTCAACTTGGGTTTTTCCTCATGAATTTTTTTTTGCATTCGATTATCATGGATTTTTTTTATCATTATTCTAACTTGAAATCTAATCATAATTTTTTTTTTCAATTTTGAAGAAAGATTTTTTAAGTTAAAATAGGTATGACAAATTATAAAAGCATTCTTTACAACTCGAGTGACAAAAAATTTCGTAATGAAGTAACAGAACGGTTTATCACATATTTAAGCCAGAATTTCGTTTATAATAGGTATATAACAATAATGACAGTTGTGCTGTGTGTGTGTACATTTTTTTTTTGTTACGGCGGAATTTTTGTTTTTCTTCCAAGACGTTCGGCGTCAGCTGTTTCTTTTTCTTTTATGTATCAGCTCGTCGATCAGACGTTGTCCACTGCACGGTGCACCTCGCAGTCAACTGAATACTTGTCTATGGCCCCGCCTGCAGGCTGCATCGGCTACCGAGCATTCTGGTTTTCACGTCCATCCCGTGTGGTTATCTGCGCCAATGTAATCATTTTGTAAAAATAATAATAATAATACTGAATAGTGAATAGGTCATAATATTTTTGTTATTATAAACTAAATTTTGAAATTGTACAATTTTTTCTGTCGACGAAAATCGTTTTGTTATACCTATCTTTTTCTCTTTTTTTTTTCTACCGTAGTGATGTGTCGTGATTTAACGTGAATTTTATGTGCCGAAAATGTCGCGGTCGTTTTCAAGAATATTGTTTTTAGTTCGGTTGGATTGATAACGCAAGCATATCGTACGGCTAAAGGCTAAAGTATATCGCACGTCTGGCCGTGTAGAATTGGAATTTTACCATGTTGCTCAAAAGAGATTGGGGTGGCGCAATTACCATTGGATTGGGTATAGCGGCCGTGGCTGGACGATCAGGTATTTGAAAACGTTCATTTATTTTTTTGTACCAATGTAAAAGTATAAAACAAAACACAAATTTGGGTTCTCGTATGTACTATCAGTGATAAAATAACGTAACGTGCGGGGTACGTACAAAGCGTAGTTTGTCGCTTGCTACTTTTATCCTACGAGCTAGGTTCGAAATTAAAATTTCGCGTAATACGTAGGCCAGTTTGGAAAAGTTGAAAATGTCATTACGGTTGTATTTCGTTTTATTTTTTATATTAACTAAACGTTGAGTAAATATTGGAAGACTAGGTTACCAACATGGCTATATTACGATGCTAGTAAAATTAACAGGAAAAAAAAATTAGGAATGTATATTATAAAATTGATAAAATACTTATTACTTGTAATTACGCGGTACGCTATCAATCAACTTTGTTATATACCGAGACTTGTTATTTATTCAATGTAAGTATTTTGTGTACCAAGAAAAAGATTAATGCTGCACTTAGGCTTGTACGCGTCAAAACATTAAATTCCACTCTTGAGATAAAATTCTAAGTGCATTATGCACTTAATCACAAAATGCATTGTTGTAGCAATTCTAAAGTCTTACAAATTTGATATTAATATAAAATTTGTTGATAAGTGTTCAAATTCAGACTACTTAATGAAGGTGTTTAGACAAACACATAGTAAAATGAATACTTTCTTAACTTCCAATAAAATCATATACTTTAAGGAAAATTATTAAAAATTTTGTTGGATTTTGAATAAATACTCTCAGTATTGCTTTTAAATAAATTATTTTGTATGCTATTACTATTTAGACATCTGTGTATTGTTATTAAATATTTTTAAGACTAGCAAACCACAGATGTATCTTTTTTTAAATCCAGATTTAAAAAACTTGATTCTATTTTTAATTTAAATAAATATATGCAATTTAAATGATATGATACTTATGTACAAATGATTTTATAAATTATCAGTATTTTATGAAAACTCAATTATTAATCTTTTTGACAGCATACAATATACTACTCTATAGTAAGATAATGATCGTATATGTACCAATAGTCCATAAACTGTTAAGAGTTCCTTTAGTTGACAATATTGTGCTAACAATAGCGGAGAACACCCTAAATATTTTATCCATTAAACTTTTGCCCTCCCAAACTTACTTGATGTTGGTAATAAATTATGTTTTATTTGAAGCAATAGAGATCTCACCCTCTAAGAAAAAGTCATTAGTAGGGAGTATGGTACCGATATGCTGTAGAAACCTTCCCCCTTATATGTTAATCTCCAAATCAATAGGACCCTTTTAGTTTGTATACGCTTTGTATTTGTCCCTTGTAAGAATGACTAATCCTTGATGTATTATTTTGTTTGTTACTTGTCTACATGAAGTATGTATGATAATCCTGCTAGCTGCAAAGTCAACTTATTACTGTGTATTTGAAGTAAAGATAACAGTTAATTTGGTGCCTACTTTTTATTGTTTATATTTGTATATTAGCTATTGGTAGGTAAATACATTATATATATATATATATATATATATATATATATATATACTCAAGACTAAAATATACTTAAAGTACTATAACAACGTATTGTTATCTACACTTGCGTAGATAAACTTTTACATTGATGTAGTATGTGAGTGCATTTATATCTATAAGGTAAATGTTATTTTGATAAAGAAAATTAAATTTATAAGACTGATTAACTAAGAGTATCGTACAATTAAACAAGGATAAATGATCAAATATTGAGGCGATCGTTTAAAACGTAGGGTTTATATAAATATATGTATTATTCAAGAACACATACACAGAAAGCTAATTTAAATTAACATTTATGTTTATTTAATTTATGCATACATCTATATTATATGTAGTCTATAATTAACATATAATTATTTTTTACTCTATTAATGATAACTTTTTCATGTTATATTCATAATAGACCAATAAACAGGTGTAAAGATGTTTTCATTTAGTGCAAAATTCACATTTGCCATAACTTTTTTTTGCCTCCGCGAAAAGAAAAAAAAAGCAATATGCGTAAAAAATAAACTGTGTAAACATAAGTCGTTTTATGAATATATCTAATAAATTATCATTGTATTGTACAATCGAATGTTGTCAAACGCAAAACCACGGTAATCAATAACGTAAATTCTTGAGTGAACGAATCCACTTGAAGTGTCTATAAATCTTAAAAGTTTCGCATATATTTGTATATTTTTTTTGCCAAACGTGGCCGTTGAACAGAAAAAAAAAATGATATGTTGCAATAATTGTTAAATTGTTCGAAACTTGTACAACGTTTAAAAAAAGACATGTAATTATGTTAATTGTAACGCCGGAAATTTCACAAGAAATCGGCCATAAATCTTATCAGAATACGGTTTTAATAATATATTATTATATTTAAATATTTAACACACTCAATAAACAGTAGTTACTCGAGTTTTCATTTACAAAATATCGAATTAGATTTATAGAATTACCACCCATTTCATAATAACTGATTTAGAATAAAAGATATATATATTTTTTTTTATTAGACAAATATACAAGTAAATCAGTACAATAAGCATATTATATGGTATGTTTACTCTTCTTGTCAGCAATAGTAGGATTTATTATGGACGTTACAAGCGACAAATATGTGGTTTATTAAATATGCGATAACGCGTGTCACCCGGTATAATATAATAACAAGTTCTATATACTTACAATCGCCGTGTGTTACATAACAAAATACACGGGTTCAATCAGAGGTGGACGGGTATCAGCGGTTCCAAATATTAATGACACTTGGATAACAAAAAAAAAAATGTATCAGTTTAATAAGCGAATTCGTTTAATGTTATAAAAATTAAACTCGTTAGGTACCGTCGTTGATAATATGTCACTCGTTTTTAATTTTCGGATTAATACAAGTTGTAATAATAATAAGTTATTGTGTTGATACTAAAATGTTTAAACCTGTTTAGCTATTTCTATAAATAAATTGCTTGTGATAGCAACAAATTAAAATTTTAACTATAAAACGATTTTTGATTATAACATTCACAAATATATACCTGTGTCTGTATGGCTTGAGCTGGATCTCATATACATCACATTAAACGCTCGCATCTAGTTCAACAAATGTCATAGTTCCAAGTTTATTATTTTAAAAGTTATAATTTTTAAGAGTGCGTGAAAAACTTATGCAAAAGCTTATTCGACCAAACTTCTGTACTTCGTGACATTGTGGCCCTTTTCTTGACCTAAGCCACAGATATAATATGTATGTTGAGAGGAAGGCGAGAAGGACGTTTATAAAAGTTCACAAAAAGTGACATCAGACATGTGACATAATATTATATCAACCATCCCATCACAGTATTAATATTATTACAATACTAAATGCTTAGAAATCGTATAAACACACATTTTGTTAACATAATACAATTAACATTTTAGAATTCTATTAATAGAGGATCAACTAGTATTTGATACTTGACGGCGAGTATCAAATATCGTAATACAATATATATATATATATATATTACATATTCGTCCTGTTTGGCGGGTAAAAAAAAGGGCTAGTAAGATTTTTTTTTTTACGATTGAGCAGCGTGTGGCGCCGGACGTAGTTGTTTTTTTTTATTATTACTTTTTTTTTTAATGAGCGGCGGCTCGAGTCTGCGGCTGCTGGTGTCGGACAAGTTAACCGCCGTACGTGGTGTGTTCGTGTCCTTGACCCTCCCCCGAACATCAACCGATACTCGTACGTACAACCACCGTACGATGAAAGTTATAATAATAATACCAATAATAATAATAACACTCGTAGGATTTGTGGTATTTGGTGAACACATAAGCTATAATGCATATTACCTATATAGGTAAATAGCGCTGTAACCGCATCCGAGGTGTTGGGCGGTTCACGCCTACCACCACACGGGGTCGTCACGACGACCAGCAGAATAAAAATGATTCGGATCTGTCCGGAATTTATGGGAACCGATTTGCATCAGTCGCCTTCGAACCCTTTTCCCTGCCTTCCCCTCGGCGGCTTCCTTCCCCCTTCCTTTCGCCCACCTCGTGGGCCAGCGTGACTTCCGCTCCCACACAATAACAATAATAATAATGAGTTGTAACACGCGCACCCTACGCACCGAGATATACGGTTCCACGACTTTCAACGCGACAAACGGTTTCTTTCTCTTGCCGTCCCCACCGATGCCATTTAAATGCACGCGCCTTGTACACGGGCCGTTTTAATAAGTTGGCAAAAAAAAATTCACAGAAAATACTTGAAATTTACTTAAAAATAATTGGAATTTGGTTTTATAGGGTTTACACTCAAAGGCATACTAGAGCATACTGAAAAATTCTGGTGCTGCTTTGCCGCTGTCTTCGCATAGATAAGACAAATTAACGAGACCGTTTACAGTATAGAGTAAAAACACTAAAACCTACTCCAGTTGGGAACCGTCATCGGTAAGACAGGAGTAGAGTATGTAAGGTCCGCGGTAGGTACAAGTCACGGTTTATACAGATCCTAGAAATCCTGAAAAATCCTTGACTTTGGTCAATAGTCCTAGGAATAATACTAAATCGTAGTACATTCCATACGATTTCAGCTAGCTCCTGGAATTAGTGTTATGTTGGTACCCTGAGTGTAAAAGGGACAATCTTACATGTTGTGGCCTTTGGCAATAAGTTAACGATTGTAATGTCACTTTAGAATAATTAAATCCCAGACGGTGCAATACAAAGTATTATGCCATACTAGCCCTACTCCCTCCCGTGATTTTTAGATCTGCGTGTTTCGACAATAATATTATAGTGTTCACGTGAAATAATAATATGTTTACATTGAGAATACCCTCAAAGTATAATATTATATCCTTTGATAATAAGAGAATCTTCGTACTATAGTTACCTATTATTTTTATGTTTAATATAATATATGTGTATATATATTTTGGCTATTTATTCTACCGCTAGCGTCCTTTTTTT